ATCGTATATTAAAGTTAAAGCTTTATTAGGAATGGTTTTGATCAGAGATGATCTACTTATTGGTTTTTAGAGGTCTGGTAGAGAGAACTTGCTCGTAGGGTTTAACCCACGATTTATTTTTCAGGTTATTAGAGGTTCCAGTCTCAAAGTTGAGGATCCGCAGCTGGAAGACTGTCATTCATCTATTCATCTTGTGTACTTTTAAATAGTATTGGATTATTGGATAATATTTTAAGGAGTTCTTGAGTTACGGGATTCCCGAGCTATAACTGTTGAATAATTATCAATTAATATTTATTTATTAGTTTTCTTCAGCGGTTTATTTATTCTTTATTATTCATCTTTGTATTATGTGCTTGTTTAAATACTTTAATTATTTTGATATCCCCTGATTTTGTGCGCGGATTTGATCAACCCGTGTTCCGAAATTAGGGGGTATCACATAAACGCTCAAACCAGGCATGAGATGCATGTTTTAAACCGTAAAAGGATTTATTCAATAAGTAAACATGATTGAGAAAAGTTGGATTGACAAACTTGGTGGTTCTTTCATGTACACAATTTCTTTGAGAAAACCATGTAATAAATCATTTTTTACGTCAAGTTGTTTGATGGTCCAACGTGAGACAACCGCTAGAGAAAGGATGATGCAAATGGTTGTGGGTTTGACTACAGGGCTAAAAGTTTCGTCATAGTCTAGCCCGGGAACTTGAATGAAACCCCTTATAACAAGTCGTGCCTTGTACCGATCGATCGAGCCATCTTCCTTGCATTTAATGCGTAGACCCATTTAGAACTAATGATATTGGTGTTAGAAGGTCGAGGAACAAGACACCAGGCGTTGTTGGAATAAAGGGCTGAAAGCTCTTTTTGCATCGCAGCAAACCAACGTGGTGATTGAAGAGTAGTTTTGAGAGACTTCGATTTTTGAGCAAGATCAGTAAGGAGAACAACATCTTTATAGGTGGATGAGCTAATGGTGGGGCATATATAATCCTTCAAATGAGATGGTGGTCGGCGTACACGAGTTGGATGAGAAGTTGGAAGATGAGTCACATTTTGATCCATAATAAAGGAAGTTGTAGATGAGTCTCGTATTCCATAAGAAACATTGTTGTCGTCATCTTGAGAGACTTCAAGGTGTGAGCAATTAAGGTCGTTTTGTCCCAAATTGTGACTAACTGGATCAATTGAGGTGTTGTCATCTAGCTCATTGTAACAACCAACTTGGGTACCACATGAGTTATTAGTTTGCGTGTTTTCGTCGACCAAGTTTTGATAAGAATGATGATTGCTTGACGTAGAAAACCACTCTTCTTGATCTGGAAAAGTTGTCACTGCAAGCTGTGGAATATCAACACTTGAAACTTTGTGAGAATACGAAAAATATTTGTTCTAAAAAACCACATGTCTAGATATATAAACTTTATTTGTTAAAGGATCAATGCATCTGTATCCTTTGTGAAGAGGACTATATCCAATAAAGACACATGGAAATGTTCTTTTAGAAAATTTATTTTGATTTTGGTGCCTCAAATAAGGAAAACATTTACAGCAAGGACCTTTAAAATACTATAATCAGGATATCTGCCAAACTATTTGAAACATGGTGTCTCCATATTTAGAAAAGATGATAGGAGACAGCTTATTAAGTATGTTGCTGTAAGAAAGACATCTACCCAAAACCTGAGTGGTAGATTTGCATGAAAAATCATGGTGAGACCAGTTTCCACAATATGTCTATACTTTTTTTCTGCAATTCCTTTTTGTTTAGGTATTCCTGGACATGATAGTTGTTGAGCTATGCCATAAAGAGCAAGATGGTTAGTGAATAGTGTAGAAGTGAACTCACCCCCTCCATCACTTTAAAAAATTTTGATTTTTCTATCAAATTGATTTTCAACAAGTTTTTGAAATTTTAAGAAACATTCATAAAAATCAGATTTGTGATTGAGAAGATATAACCAAGTATATCTAGTGCAATCATTAATAAAAATAATATAATAGCGAAAATTTTGAATAGAAGAAATAGGAGCTGGCCCCCATAAATCACAATGTATTTTTTCTAAGGGAAATTGGCACGACTTATTACTTTAATGAAATGAAAGTTTACAGCGCTTCCCTAACTGACAACTAGTGCAAATAGAATGTCTATTTAGCCAACTAGAAATGTTTAGCATGTCTTTTTTATTGAGAACTTGTAAAAACTTTGAATGGGGGTGTCGGATTTGTTGATGCCACAAATCCGAAAAAGCTGAAGGAGATTTGACTGTTGCAAGTGCTTCCAATTTTGCTTCTTCAAGAGTATACAATTGTTCTGTTTTATGCCTCTTCGGTAGTGTCTTTTGACTTTGATCCTTTATCATAAAACCATTAGCATTGAATTCAATACTACAAGGATTATCTTTAGTAAATTGACTAACAGATAGTAGATTTTTCTTAAGCTTAGGAACTACAAGGACATTTTTTAAATTTAAATTTCCATGAGGGGTTTTTAAAGAGGCATTACTAGTGTGTGAGATGGATAATTTATTTCTATTTCCTACATAAATGGCATCATGTCCATTATAAGCATGTACTGAAGAAAGCTTAGCAACATCATTTCTCATATGTGTTGTTGCTCTAGAATCTGCATAGAAACTTGGGTTAGTTTCTTGTAGAGATAGAGCCGCAAAACTTTTAGGCATCTCATCTTCTTGTTGAGCATAGTTGTATCTATAAAAGTATTTAATGGCAGTGTGGTTGGTTCTTCCACATATTTGGCATTTGACTTCTTCTTCATCTTGTTTGTTGGTGTTGCTTCATCCATTGCCAACAAAGTTTTTTTAACCATTGTTTGATTTGCCATTACCTTAATTTCCTGAATAGTTTTGAAAGGGATAATTCTGGTTGTTTGATCGATTTGCTTGAGCGAACCCTCTCCTTCTGTGATTAAAACGTTCACATCTGTTGTTTCTTCCTCGCCCTCTTTGTCCAAAGAAAGCTTGTGCATGATCTGCAATTCGTTTATCTTCTTCACGCTGTTCAGTTATCATTTGCTCATGATTCTGTAGAGAGATAACAAAATGAGTAAATGAAGGATATGGTGGCTTTGAAAGCATTACCGTTCGAAAATCTTGGTATTTAAGACCAAGCTCGCGAGCCAATTTAAAGACTTTTTCGATTTCGGGAATCGGCTTGTTAATGATGCAAGGTTGTCACATATAGCTTTGAATTTTCTAATATATTCTGTAACGGAGAAGGTTTCTTTCTTCAAGCAAGCCAAGGAATCCTTTAAATTCTCTTCTTGTTCTATGGTGTTTGGAAGTAATTGCTCTTCCAAGCTATTCCATATTTGCTTTGATGTTTTACTCCCCATGATCATGCTGAGTATGTCTTCGGTCATGATGCCCAGGAGCTATGAAATAAGTAGTCCGTTATTATGGAGCCATTGTATGTATTGCGAATTTGAAACTTTCTTTCCATCTTCTCCCATCATTTCTTTAGCTGGTACATCATCTATAAGATGGTGAGTTATCCCAAGACTTTTAATCAAGGGCAAGACCTGCGATTTCCAAACAAGAAAGTTAGAAGAACATAATTTTATAGAAACAAGGCTAGCACATTGATGAAAGATTTGTATTATGAGTTTGGGTTCATCATGGGAATTGTTTTCAAAAGTGAGGCTTGCCATTAACTCTGATACCATAAAGAAATTGTAAAGAAATATAGAGAAAGAATGAGAAAAAGCAATGACTAGAAAAATGAATTTTATTCACTATTTTTCATTGTCCAGCAAGATGTATGGACAAGTCTATTTATACAATAAAGAGGTCGGTAATATACAAAAAAATCTCCTAGAAAAAAGCTTTATTTAATTCTATAAATAGGTAATTCTTTAGATATGGCATAACAAATTGCCAAGTTTGTTTCTAACGGCTTTGCATATATCATGTGATTTTTTGACCGTTCGGAGTAGTAATCTTCTTGTTCCTTTTCCATATTGTCATTATCTCCATTAGTGCTAGGATCTTTATTTTTGACAAGTGAATCATCATTGACTTTATCACCATCATCCTATTTTTCTTTGGTTGGTTGTAACAGTAAAAGGAGAGAGAGGTTAGGTTTGCAAGAAATTTATTTTTTACGATGCGAATAAGAAGAATAAGTTTTTTTCTATTCCCCAACTTTTTCTCTCAACACCACCACCACCGCCCCCATATTTTTTTCTCTCCATACCACCACTGCAACACCTCTCTCTCATCTATTATCGAAAACTTACTGCAGCACTAGAACAAACAAAGAGGGGGAGTGGCTTGGTCAGATTGCCAAATTTGTAGGTTTTTTCACGACCCAATCCACAATGTTGAGGGGTAATTTGGTTAAAAAAATTGCCTCAAAAAATCATAATCCGGTGTTAAGTTAAAATACTCCCATTATAGTTGAAAGGGCTTTCTTACTAAAAGTATTTATAAGGGTTTTTTTTTTTTTGCAAGTGAGTGGTAGTCAAGGGATTTTTTTTTGGCAATTGGCTCTAATAATAATAATAACAATAACAATAATAATAACAATAATAATAATAGGAGTAATAACCAATAATAATGGTAGTAATAATTATAATAATAAAATAATAAATAACAATAGTAATAATAGTAGTAGTAATAATAATTAAATGATGGCTTTGTTCATATTTAAACGCTCGCCTCATAAAAAAAACTAAAATAATCTAAAATTAAATTAAACTAGCCGGTCAAATGTAACAGTTCAATTTGATAAAAAAAAATATAAATAAATAAAAATTATCACACAATATAAAATTAGAAGTAAATCGTTGGATTTTTAAATCTTGATACAAAGTAAGTTTTTTATGTCAAAGTGTGCTACAGTGAGCTGCAACTTATTGTAGCGTTTATCAAGGCAAATATATCCAAACGTGGTGTCAGCAGATATCCGCCACATTACTTTAGAACGCGCCTCAGAGGAGCGTGGCCTAACAATGCCGTCCTAGATTTTTGTCCACATTATTCAGAGCAGAGTATCTTTTATTCAACCCACTCGTCCCGTCTTCTCGTCCTCACCTACTCACACAGTACGTAATAAAAGAATCCAACCCTTCTACACTTCAGTCTCTCAGTTGGGTTCTTCGTACCATTTTCACTCATCTTTCAATTTTTCTCATTACCGCCAATGTAAGTCACAATCTATATGAATATGTATGTTTGTGCAATACAATAGTAATAACATACTCATGCTTTGTCATGGTGTTGAGTGTATAATGTTTTATATATATTTGTGTTTGTTTTTATTTATTTATTATTATTATTATTTGAAATTATTAGGGAGGGTGGGTTGAAGCCAATGGATGCAGAACAACTGAGAGAGAATGCCCACCAGATGGTTGATTTTATTGCTGATTATTACAAGAACATTGAGAATTTCCCAGTTCTCAGCCAAGTTGAGGTCTGTCAATTTTCCCTTGTTCTTTTACATGTTCTTTCACATGACATATATTATTTTTTGGGTAAGTATGAAAAATATATTATGTCTTGATTGAATAATTAACAGGTTGGATATATGCAGGAGTCTCGTGTATGAACTCTGGTTTCAAATAAATTTAAAAAAGAGAGTTGATAATTGCATATTCTAGTATTAATCTAATATGGGGTAGTTGGTGAATCAATTGTGTCAAATTTTGTCTCTCTCTATCTTCCTTTGTGTGTGTTCATTTGCACATGTATGTGAATTTCTGTTATATCAATCTTTATTGGTTTATTTAGTAATTGGGAAACTAAGCATTTATGAAAAGGTTCTATATTTTTTTCCATTTTTCGGGCTGAAAACTCTTTAATAGTTTAATGTGAGTGGTTTATGTAACTTATTTGTAAATTGTGCTATCAAGCAATTTATGTTTGTTGGTTACCACAATATGTGATATTGACAATTCTATGCAGCCTGGGTATCTGCATAAACTTCTGCCCGATTCTGCACCAATTCACCCCGAATCATTGCAAGATGTCCTTAACGGTAAACTTTCTCAGTGGGGTTCTTATGCATTTTCAACTCTTTAATCAAGTGACCTTCAAAGGAGAAAAACAAGAAAAATTTACAAAGAGTGTGCTACACTATTGCTCTTTAGTTTATTTGATTAATAAAATGAAGTGAATGTTTATTTATATCATTATTATATTTTTAAAATTTTTTACTACAGATGTTCAGGCAAAGATATTACCAGGGGTAACCCACTGGCAAAGCCCAGACTACTTTGCATATTTTCCCTCTAATAGCAGTGTCGCAGGATTCTTGGGAGAAATGCTCAGTGCTGGTATTAACATGGTGGGTTTCAGTTGGATAACTTCTCCTGCAGCAACAGAGCTTGAGATGATTGTTCTTGATTGGCTTGCGAAAATCCTAAAGCTTCCTGATGATTTCCTCTCAACTGGTAAGGTTGGTTGTGATTATATTTGCTTGAAGTTGATTCATTTGGGAAGGCACTGCCTTTCTTGGTCCAAAATATTAATTTTTCTTCTATCCAAACAAAAACAATATTTGCTTGAAGTTGATTTATTTGGGAAGCCGTCGCCTTTCTTGGTCCAAAATCTTCATTTTTCTTCTTATCCAAGCAAAAAACAATATTTGCTTGAAGTTGATTCATTTGGGAAGGCACCACCTTTCGTGGTCCAAAATCTTCATTTTTCTTCTCATCCAAACAAAAATAATATTTGCTTTTCTTTCTGATGTTTGATGTCTTTCAAGGTAACATTCTTAATAGATTCATTTCACAAAAATAAATAAGTAAAAAATATAAGATGCTTCAAGTTTTGATTCATTCTAAAATTATGTTTGGCTTAACATGTTACTATTGACAGACAGGTCATATATGGATATGGGTTCTAAATGTAATAAATGACCTATTGGTTGGTTGAGCAGAAGTCCAAGGATATAAGTAAACGCATGCATAACTCTTTCTTTAGTGTCCTGTCCAAAAAGAAATATAGAAGAATTGGTAGTCGAGTGGGAAAAGATGTTTTATTCCAAGGTTGATGAGATCTTAACACATATGTGACTGTAATTAACAATGCAACTCAACTCAACACACATTGGAAAATGGTGATGGAAGTTTGGAGCAGAAATGGCTACTAATGTAAATCTCAGGTGAGTTTTTGGGAATGTGTTTGGAGTTCATCAAACATCATTGAAATGGCCAAGGATGCATTTGGAGCAAGTATATCCTTCATAAGTGGGAATGATGAAGATTTTTGTTGGATAAATATTGTGGTGATGGTTCTCTTCTCCTCGTATTTGGATCTGGCATGTGTTGTGACTGATGGCTTAATGATGGTATGATTTTCTAGTTCAGGATTCAGCTTAGTTTTTTATTTTTATTTTTTGGGGGCTCTTCAGACAAATCTTCAGGAACGGAAAATGGATTTGAGGAGTGGTAATGTGCAATTCTGTATGTTTGGATGTTAATATTCAGATTATAGTATGGCTATTCTTTTGAGTGACTTTTGTTTGTCAAATCATGTTTACATGTTTTGCTTGGTTTGGAGCAGGTTGACTGCCCACCAGTCATATTATACTAGTTTCATTCCGTATAAGTGATATATTCATATAGGAGGTTTCGTTGGATACAATTTTATGATTTTTTACAATATGCTAAATGGGAGATCGTGAACTTCTGCATCACATGCAGAAAGAATTCTCAGTTGATGGATCATCATTTTCTTTGTTGTTCACTTATCATTGTTCTTTTATATTTCAGAGTTTGTTTGTCACTGGAACGAGGATGACTTAGTTTGTCTTCTGTTAGTCAATAAAACTGTTCTCTCCTGGCAATCTACAGATTGGACTAAGAAGAAGAGAAGCCATGGGGGAGTTACATCTTTCACTACTTTTTGGGCTATCTGAAAGCACAAAAATGATGTTGAGAATGATTAGCTAATAGGATGCAGTTGAAATATTCTATCTTTTCTCCTTTGTTTGTTATACACAGGCTGTGTGTGTTTATGTGCATGTGATTGTTTTATTTTTATATATTTTTTCTTTTTTGACGAATTTACAGTTTTATGATTTATGTTACAAATCAGTATCAGTCATATATATATATATATATATATTATATTTCTATAATAATAATAATAATGAAAAATAAATTAAGGATAGGGAGACAAAAGTGAAGGAACTGGCTTCTTTGCATTCCTCATTATAGCTGATATGGACATGGACTCATGAGCCTGTAATTAGTGTGTAGAATATTAGGGTGGCCTGACCCTCATTATGAACAAAGAAAAAAATAAATTAAGTAATATTAAAATTCTGCACCTCTCTCTGTATGACTTAGTGGATGATGTGATCCTGATGAACAGATTTAATTAGTGGAAGTTAACCAAGCTAAAGTCTTTTTCTAGTCAAGAAGCTTACTTGTTGAATGACTTTCTGAACAACTGTCAGAAAGATGTCTGGGCCGCCACTCGCAGGTAGAGATTAGCTCAAGCAATTCACTGGAAGTGAGAGCATGTGGTAGGCCTCATATAGTTTGGCACTTTTACCATTATATGGCTTATAATCTTTTTGAAGTTGTATGTTTTCCAGATTGATGACAATAACTAGGCTTGCAAGGACTCCAGGTCCAAACTTACATCTGTGGTAATATTATTGCTTGGAGAAGAAAATAAACATTAGCATTAAGGAACCATATTTGGACCTAAGTCCATACAGCCAAATGTTTGAAGAAAGATAAAATTAGCTCATGGAAGTTCGTGGGTGTCAAAGACTAAAACCTCAAGCATGGGCTTACAATATCTTTTCCAAAGTTGATTTTTTTTTTTTTTAAATGGAACTTTTGCTGAAATCTAGGGACATTCTAACTGATGCCCTTATTTTTATGGATCTCTCTCTCTAGTTTCTGCAAAAAAGCTTTGCCAAAAAACTGTAGTAGTTCAACTTATTATCAATTGTCCACCACATGATATGGTTTTCCTCTTGGGAATCATGTTGCAGGACAAGGTGGTGGAGTAATTCAGGGCACGGCAAGTGAAGCTGTTCTAGTTGTGCTACTTGCTGCTCGTGATAAAGTTTTAAGAAGGGTAGGAAAAAATGCTCTTGGAAAGCTTGTGGTTTATTCATCTGATCAAACACATTCTGCTTTACAGAAAGCCTGCCAGGTATTTTAAAAAGTCCGCACAAATATTATTTTTTTTCTGTAAATATGCATGAATATTTTTTAACCCTTTCATTTTTAATTTTTTGGCATTGTTGTGTTTGTACTTAAATTATACTTTCAGAAGTTGTGTGATAAATTATTTACAGTCATGTCAAACAGATTAAATTGATTGCGTAGAATGGCAACCAATTAAATTCCCAAGGTTCATCAGTGATCAACTAATTTTTAGCATAAGCTATTTATATAAAGATATTGTTTCATCCTTCATAACATTTTTCCTCCATTATGTTCCTTTTTTCCCCTTTATTTATCCTTTTTTTTTTTTTTTTGGTGGGGGTGGGGGAATTAATCTATTCTTTAATCAATGCTGAAGCACCAAAATATCATGGTGATTATTGATAATCTTATAAAAGTATTATGTTTTCTTTTACTTCATGATATAAAGCAAGAAAAAATAATACTAAGCCCAGGAGTATATTTACCTCTCTGTCATCCTCATTCTTGCCTTAATCTCCCGTGGATGGGGTCGGCCATATGAATTCTCTGTCTCCACTCTTTTCCTTGATGTAAAAAAAGCAATGATATGGCTTTTGTCAAGAATCACTAATCTTCTGCCAAAGCATAAAATATGGTGATGTCTATAAAGTTTTCATCATTGCATTATTCTTGACACCCACATGCTGATTTACCCAGGTTTCCCCTACTTCTAAATATTGTGAAAAGCATCTTAAGGCACTGAAAATCAGGTTGATTAAAGAAATGCTAAAACTTCTTCTTTCATTGTGATTATCCTTGCCCTTCAATCAACATTCTTTATTTAGTTCACTACTATATTCTATAGAATTTCTTGCTTATAATCAATTTTTTTGTGTTATTCCCTCCACCTGAAACAAGTTATGGGAGTGCTGAAGGGAACCTCATCTTTTCAATGGGCACATGCCCCTAAATATTATTTTAAACTCATCATTGAGCAATAGAATTCCATTTATGAACTGTAGACTTTTTTGTTATACCCTCATAGTTGTTGCTGATGCTTACCATGATTACATTAAGCCTGTGATTAGCAACTGAGAAGGTAGAATTCTATGTCAGTGTTTACTGGAGCTATCTGAGGGATGGGCCATCAGAAATGCCTTAATGCAATATCACAAAGAACCATTAATTATGACCATGACGTGTTATAGAACACCTTCATGTGTTTATGCATGTTTTCTTATTTTATTTTATTTCTTTATGATTGCTGTGTTTGGAACTAATCATGTAATTTCATTCTCATGTGGCTACAGATCTGTCTCAAAATACACATCTTTCAAACATTTTTGTTCTGATGTCCTAGAAACAGTTCTTATTTTTTATTATTTTTTTGGATCTGTGTATGCTGCTTATTTGTGGTACCGAAGTTCATGTTGCAACCTTGTTTTATTTGTTTTTTGTTTGTGGCAGATAGGAGGAATTCATCCAGAGAACTGTAGGGTGCTGAAAGCAGACTCTTCCACTGAATATGCTCTTTCTCCAGAATCCCTTGATGAAGCAGTTTCACATGACATTGCCATTGGTCTAATCCCCTTTTTCTTATGTACTACTGTAAGAAACCACATTTTGTTTTTCATGTTTACATGTCTTACAACATCCTTTAGTGTTTCACTAGACTTTTTCTTTTATTAATTATTGAACATGGTGTAGGATTATCTTTTTTCCCCCTACAAAAACGTTAAACTTCACTATTTTTTAATTCATTTTCCAATTTGTCATTAGCATGATGAAGTTTTTTACTTATCCAAAAAAAAAAATTGATGAAGTTTCCAACAAGTGCTTGGGAGTTGGGTCTGGCAGTCTCTTAAAAGGTTTATTGGCAGATTTAAAATCCAAAGTATTAAAAGGATTATAATGTTTGTTAAAGTACAAAAAAAGAATAGTTTAAACTCAAGCCTATCACTCGATTGAGTTGGACACGGTTTCAAAACATTTCAAAATATTGCTCTAGGTTCCAAAGTTTAGTCTGAGAAAGAATTTCTAAATTTTCATATTGATACTCATTATGTATATGGCCCCATACTATCTTTCATTTTAGCTTCACCATACCACTTGTTTGAAGTACACATGTGTGTATTGATGCTCCTTATCATTTTCCTCAATTCTATGCATACACCAATTTGAGTAGCCACTTTGTGCAACTAATACCATATGTTAGATTTTTACCCAGTTTGCTCCTCCTAGAACCATAGTTAATGGGGGAACACACTTGGTAATGGCCTTCTTCTCCAATGCGTCACTTTGGACAGATTTTCTTAAAGTTCTGTTCAATTATTTGGCTTTGTGTAGGACTGAAGTTTGTGAGAATGGTAGCTTGGATCCTTGGATGTTGGTCATGGAACTTTAAAATGATGTCTTTCTAGAGTTCAAAAACAGTTAAAATCTTCATTTATTATTCATTCATAGACTAGGTTTTTAAATTAAAGTTTAGTGTGTGACTACCACCATATAGATTCTTCATACTTTCACGTGAACTCCCAATATAGCTCCTTGATACTTGGATGTGAACTCCTAAATCTTGCAAGGGATCATTCATAAGTGTAAGACGTTAATTTTGCCACAGTACCCTGCTTTAAATCCCCTCCACCTTCCCGGGAAAAATGGCTAATATGAATCAACTGTAAGTTAACTAATACTTGGAGCAATCTCTTGTGCCTTCTCTAATTAATTTTTCTTTCTGCTTTCCTAAGAGTTGATTTATTTTGCTGACAAATCACTTTTGATGTTGTCTTCTTGCATATTTGATTGCTAAGATATACACTCTACCTACAAAATGGATAATGTATAGACTTGAAAGGGAAATAATAATTTTTGTTGGCTTAGAGAAAGCATTTGATTCACTTTTTTTTCCCTGATATTTTGGTGGTTTTGGGAAAGGATGAAAGACAGGAATTTTAAGAAAATATGTTGGCACTGTCAAATGCATGTATTAGAAGTGGAAACTTCTGTGTGACTATTTAGTTTGAGTTATTTCTTGATCCAAGTGACTTGCAGTTGGTGTCAATTTGAAGCCCTAAGTATGTTACATTGTTTATGAGAGAAGTCCTCTCATATTCAATCTAATGAGTGCTGGTTTATATCACTTGTATAGCATACACTGTCATTATTAAGAATTGAGTGGGGGCTATCAATGCCTTAAACTTTTATACTGTTTAAGCATTTGGAATGCTGGGCATAATTCATTTTACGGACCCAAAATTCTACGAAATTGACTATTTAAAAGCTTGTAAGAATAGGCAAAAAGTCAAAGATGGTATAAATAGCAATTTGTATAGTGTCCACTGAGGTATCAGGAAAGATGGCATGTTATGTTGTGCTGATATTATTGTTTGGACCACAAAATTTTCGTATTATAAGCCATAGGATGTTATACTATTAACTTAAATATTGTGAATGCGATCACATGCTTAATTTAATTGGATATTAAAGAGTTCTGATAAACTAAATTATCTTGCATATAAACTTGCAGGTTGGTACAACTTCATCCACAGCTGTGGATCCTTTGCTTGCATTGGGAAAAATTACCAAGGTGACTTGTTAAAATTGAGTTACTAGAAAAATTAACTAAAATTGCACATTAGCTAAAGATATGATTCCTTTATCAATAAGTCTGTAAGAAATACTTGTGATAGTTAAATTTTGTTCTGTGCCTTTTTCTTTTCTTTTCTTAATTTTCTTTTTAATTTTTATATCTGCATTAGGAATTTCACTAGAAAATAAAATGTGTAACCCCAAGCTCAGACGAACTGCAAATTATTGTGCTTTAAGGCAAAACATAAATAACTAAATGAATATTGATGAATCTGTAATGGTCAGATTAAATAATACCTGTTTAAGAAAGAAGAACAGACCTAGACAAAAATACACAAATTGATATTCTCAATACACTTAAAACCAACTACAGATGCTAGAGTTCATCTCCTTAAAAGAACTTCATTAAAATTCATAAAGGTGGTTGTCCACAAAAACTTCCTTTTATGGGCAAAAATCTCTAAATTTCCAATTTAGTAATAACAAGAAACAAGATCTCCAAATGACGCTAGAAAAAACTGCAAAGGCATTGCAGCAGAACAATTAAGTGCTGGCATGGCATCTTCAAAGGAGTGGTGGAGTTGAGGGTTCAATTTTCTTATTGTTGATAAAGTGAAGCTAGAAGAAAAGGACACAACGAAGCTTTAAATGGCAACACAAAACAGGAATGAATATACAAGTGGTTTACCAGATTGTTGAATGTTGAAGCATTAAAATCTTTCAGTCTCTTAAAAATAGGTTTAAACAATTTACTTTTGGTGGTTTCTGGATAACCTCATTTGACGCAGTTTTAGAAATGACTTCCACAGAAGTTTGCCTGATGGAATGGAAATCAGCCTTCAAATGTTCCTCTTTGCTCTCTATGTGTTAAATTCATCTATATAATGTGTACTAATGCATTATATATCTGAAGAATCTCTTATAATGCAGAACAATGGAATGTGGTTTCATATCGATGCTGCATATGCTGGAAGTGCTTGTATATGTCCAGAATTCCGCCACTACATTGATGGTGTTGAAGAAGCCGACTCATTTAATATGAATGCCCATAAATGGTTTCTAACAAACTTTGATTGCTCAGCTCTCTGGGTTAAGGTATGCCGTTATGTACTAGATGCATGTCTATGTATTACTGTTAGTGCCTTCATATTCTAGGGAAAGCAAATGGATAGCATTTATTTTCATCGGACTTCCAGAGTGAATTTCATCATATTCAATTTTGATTATTCAAAATATTCCAGGTGTGTAGCTCTTTTTGGGTTTTTTGGTTTTGGGTTTTTTGATCTTCTCAAGTTGATCTAGAGTAATACAGTTGGGTTATGGTTGAGGGGATTTAGGATTTCACAAGTGAGAATGTACGTTTTGATTTTCCTTATATATGAGTTGTCCAATTTGTTAATAATAGAAGACACTGTGACGGATAGCATCAATTTCATAAGGGCTGGAAGGTTGGATAAAAAACTGTATAATTAGTATGAAAGAGGTTAAGACTTAAACTATTCCAAAGGCACATGAATTAATGCAAGAAGGAAAACCTTTGAAATGATTTACAGTGAGAGTCTTCCTAGATGCATAATGTTGTTATATGTCAGTCCCATAGTTTCTATTTATCACACTTTTGAATGGTAACAAAATTTTGCAAAAGATCAATTTAACAACTCTTAGGCAATATTGATGAAGCGACCAACTTTTCTCAGTTCCTTCAGTTGATGCCACCTCTTTTTGTTTCTGCTCTTTTTTTCCCCTAATTAGACGATTACTGTTCTCATAGTGTTATACATAGTGTACGATCACTTGCCATACTTGAAGTTCACAACTCTAATGCCACACCATTCCTAATTCTCACAATTCCTGCAATTATATGCATGTGTGTGTTTGTTTGTGTGTGTGTATATACATATCGTTTTCCTTTAATTTATTAAGACACATGTTCGGGGTCTTTTTCTGAATGTAATGGACTAAGACCCAGATGGCACATCTTCTATAGAGGAAATCATTGAATGTATGATCATATTAGTTCCTTCTCAGTATCAAACACTGAATCATGTATTTTTTTCTTGTCAACAGGACAGAAATGCTCTGATTCAGTCATTGTCAACTAATCCAGAGTTTCTCAAGAACAAAGTAAGCTTCTTTCTACTTTCCAACATTATTCATGTTAATGCTCTAAAACAGAGGTCACAGGTTCTGGTGTTTAACATGATATAAGCTATTTAGCGTATTTAACTTAAAATTTTGAATTGCTAATGTAACAATGCCTATGTTGGTTTTTCAAGGTTCTTGACGAGACTTGGACCTAAATGGGCAAATCTTTTAGGGTCCGTTTGGTTAGCAAGAACTAGCTAGAGAGGAAAAGAAAAGGAAAAAATTTAAAATTTTTATGCGTTTGGTTAGATGGAAAGTGAAAGCTTTTGGGAAAGTAGGATTCTCGCATGTTGTGAATTTTCCCTAAAATTTCTCCGGTACAAAACACACGAAAATTTACTTTCTCGCAAAACTTAGCCACTTTCTATCTTAGTTTCCTCTTGTGCCCCTATCAGTTGTTTCTCCCCCACTCTTCTTCACTTTCACCTAGTTTCTCTCCACTCTTCAGTTTCTCCACAAACTTCACGCAGAGGTTGATTTCCTTCTATAAATTGTAAATTGGTGTAATCCTAATTTAATTATTTATATTTCTATATATACATATAAAATTAAAATTTTATTATAATTATTTTGGGTTCCATAATTAATAATAATTGAGATCGAGTGTATGTATTTCTATATATGCATACAAAATTAATTTTTTATTATAATTATTTTGGGTTCCATAATTAATAATGATTGAGATCGAGTGGTATACATACAGGTTTTTCAGTTTGATTGGAAAATTAGGGTTATTGTTGGTGTTGTAGGCCATTGGGAATTTGGGATTCTTATTGGGAATTTGGGATTCTTAGTTGATTGGAAACTTACTACCTCGAGATATGGGTTTTACAATTGTTGTGTCCGTTAAAGATACAATTTAGATATTAATAGAAATAATTATATTATTATTTTTAATAATATATTATTTTACTTTTTTTTTTTTTGTTAAAAATGGATATAAACAATTATGTATAAGGGTGATTCATGAAACACAATTTTATTTTATTTTAAAATATTTAAAATTTTTAGGGTAGTTTTGGTAATAGAATCATTTTCTTTTCTTTTTCATCCTATCCAAACTAACAAAATAATATTTTCTCGTAACTTTCTTGAAAAAGTTTCCTCCTAACCAAATGCACACTGGAAACTTGATTTTCTTTTCCTTTACTTCACTTTATTTCACTTTCACTTTCCATGATAAATTTCTATATAACCAAACGGACCCTTAGGATGTCCCAAACCTGGCCGCTGACAATAAATTGAAGTATGCATTATTAGTCAAATGAGTACATGATGTACATCTACGTCAAGCTAAATCAAATATATTACCCAAACCATCCAAGCAATTTGGTTTATTAGGCAAACCTGTTGCATATCCTGCTCTAAATTGGTGTTTGTTTTTTGAATATCTTTTACTACTGCCAAGGTGCATGCTTCAGTATTTTTTCATTTTTCGTTTTAAATTCCTTTCTTAACTCACCACATTCAACATATATTATTGTGACTATGAATGTATCGGAAACCTGGTGTTCTTGGGCAGTTCTCCATTGAATACTTTGGTTTCTTGAATTGTCCTGTTGTAATTAATCTTTGCAACTTAATCTTCGTTTTGGAGAGATGATCAGTTAACTCTAAGCTGCTCTTTCAAATATGACCTGTGACATGTTAGTGAAGTTCTTCTGAATCCCAACCCCCATGTCTAGGATCAAGTTCCAAATTGCACCTAATGTTACTGCTAAAGAAGTCTAGTCAAACTTAGTTCTTTCTTTCCTCATCATATGCTCTTCTTATGTCTTTAGCACGTCCTATTGGTTCTAGATAATCTGACCTGATGGATAAATCTAATATGTTGGCCAATGGCCTTATATTGACGATAATGGAAACTCTATTCTGGAGTGTGAGGTAAGGTTGCTCTTATTCAATCTCAATTTATCAATCTGGATGCTAACTTTCTCATGAACTTGTACTGCTTAAATCAGCTTCGCCTTTCAGGTTATGAAAGAGCCCTTGTGGGGCAGGGGGGAGATGTTCCCATCTGATGATGTGATTGTGTATTTTTGTTTTCTTATCCGATTCATATATTCACTAATGTGATTGATGTTCCAGGCCTCTCAAGGAAACTTGGTTGTGGATTACAAAGATTGGCAAATTCCTCTTGGCCGCAGGTTCAGGTGTGCCATCAGATACTGCCAAAATAACTCCTTAAAATTATACAACTGCTTAACATGTACTAGTCAATCAAGCTCAGTTGAAACTTCTTGTTTTTCTTTATTCAAGCATTTTCTATAAATGAGATGGTTAAGAAATGTTTTAACTTTTAATTAAAGAAAAAAATCTTTGATGAAGAGTCAAATAAGCCTATTCTACACTGCCTCTCAATGTCAAAGTTGTAACAGGTTTTTCCAGCATTGGTTGAAGAGAACATGGCAATAAAACACTTTATGGTTTTGAAATTTAAGCTGGTTTCTCATTAAGCATAAGCCTCGCAAGCAGATACATAGTCAATATACACCTTGTGGAATCAATTTATTGACCATTTTCAATAACTTCATTGTAAAATCCATGTTTCTGATCGTATGTGGTTGCATTCTCCTTCTAATTTGGTTATATTATTGATTTTAACTCTCTACTAGGTTGTAGAACCCGTTGCAAATTTGTAGCGATTGCCTTATATAATTTGGTGATGCTTCACAGATCATTGAAATTATGGATGGTACTACGATTATATGGTTTGGAAAACCTCCAATCTTACATAAGAAACCATATTGAATTGGCTAAACATTTTGAAGAACTTGTTGCTCAAGACCCGAGATTTGAGGTAATAGATATTCATTACAAATTTGTTTGAGCGTGTCAAACTTTTTTTTTTTTGTTCTTCTACTAATAATGGGCTCATTCCTGCTTTATGTAGCTGCTTCATCTTTTATAAAACGTCTGCCACCTGTATATAGCTATTTTTTACACAAACCAGAGTCATGGCTATATGTATGTGTTTTTGTGACTGCATCATTTTACTATCAATGCACAGTTGTGCACACATCAAATATTTTGGTTTCTGTGTGTCAAACAAAATAGAGTAAAATAATGAGGAAAATCAAACTCGTCTAACAGCTCAATAGTGCATTTGAGGTCAGCCAATGAAGAATGTTAAAAAATTATATAACATGTTGTGCAAGTAACTAGTGTCATGTATACTTGTTTTTAATTTCTTATTTTTATTATGGTAAAAAAAAGGTTTGAAAAGGTGATCCTCTAGAAGTTGAAGAGGTGTTGAACACAAGTGAGGCCTGTCCTGAATATTAAAGGCCATTGCCTCTACTTCTAGTTAAAATAATTTTAATGCCAGAAACTCTCCCTACGGATCATGATTTCTTCAATAAGAGAGTATATTTTTCTCATTACATATTTGAATAGGTGGTAGGAGGCTTCGGCTTCAAGAACTGCCTCACTGTGCTAAATATCAAAGAAAGCATCTCGAGGCACAGAGATCAGAAAGTGTGAGATCTTCAGCTCATGTGCTATGAATGATTTATGTTTAATATTTGTGTGTTATACTCCTTATGAAGTTAAATGTTAGTTTACGCTAACATTTAACTGTTTCAGTCTGTGTGTGAAGTTTGAATGTGTTGCTTGATGTCAAAGGTAGTAGAACTTGCTTGGTAGTTTTACTTATGTTTTTAGTGGGAGGACATTTATGTTTCTCTTAACTTATATATAAAATATGTTCATGTAAAGTAACCATCTTCTTTCCTTAATATGAATGATTGACCGATCTAATTAGACACTAAAAATATATTGGTGTCAATTGAGGGAAAGGCTTCTCTCAGGAGTAAATTATTATTTTTTTAAAAAATAAATTCCAACCATTGTGATTCTTGGTTATGAAATGGAGATGAATGTGTAGAAGAAAGGGTATATGGATAAATAATTTTTTTCAAAATCAAAAGACCAGCCTGGCCTACTTATTCCCATCCCATAGGTTATGTGTCAAGTAATAAACCAACCTCTGAAATTAGTTCTCGTGTTTGCATTAAGACTAGTAGTCATCATTGTACAAAGTTCAATCGCATTTAGAATTAATGACAATGGGGTGTATGTGTATGTGTGTGTTTTCTTATTAATGTTATCACTTATCATTTCTGTGGCTTAGTCACGAAAACTGATGTCGCAGGTTGTTGCACCTCGGAAGTTCTCGTTAGTTTGTTTCCGGCTTCTGCCTCCCCATTCTAATGAGGATTGTGCCAACAAACTGAACCATGACCTATTGGACGCTGTTAACGCAACTGGAAAAATCTTCATTTCACACACAGTATGGTTGTTTCTATGTTAAATTTTCTGTCTAGGAGAATTGTATGCTGATGCTTTCTGCCCTTGCTTCACTGCTTTCTTACCAAAATTTAAAAAGTAGAGTAAGGAGGATGATTTTCCTTTATTCGTGATGCACAATAACCGGTGTCAGCTGATGAACATTTTGTGCAGGTTTTATCAGGCAAGTACGTACTGCGCTTTGCTGTAGGAGCTCCACTGACAGAAGAGAGGCATATAAACGCAGCATGGAAGGTTTTGCAAGATGAGGCCTCCGCCCTGATAAGGAGTCTGTAGATTAAAGTTAATTGTTTTAGTGTCATATGTTAATTGATGACATTCTTTGAATTATTCATTCTTGTTTTGAACAGTTTCTGCATTCTGAAAGCAGCTTTTTAATTAATATTATTATTGTTTTATTTATTTATTTATTGTCAATTTAAATGGGGTCATTTAAAAAAAAAAAAAAAAAAAAAATTGCAGGCATCTCAAAGGTGATGTTTAAAATCATTGATTTTGTCATTTCCAAATAGATCCATTAAAGATAATGAATTCTGCCTTGAAATGCCACTGAGAAAATGAGTGGGACTGTCTAATTTAAAGAGACATCAAAACAGGTCTTAAAAAGTTGTTATACTGACAGCGATTTTATTTTATTTTTGGTGTGTTAGTGTGTGTATTTTTGGAGAATTATTGACCACTTTTTAGAGGGTTTATTTATTTATATATGTCTGGCTAAAAAAACCTCTAATAAACTAACTTGGGTGGGTTTGGGACCTTGGGTAGTATCCTAGTCCTAATTCTAAATTACATTATACTTTTAATTGAAAAAAGAAAAAGAAAAAAATAAATAAACTAGCCTTGCGAAATTATACGATCTTGTTAATATTTGAAGCAAATACAACTGTTTGCATAAACACGAAGGCTTTACCGATTATAAATATAGTCGTGTTAATCATATTTTGAGATTTTATTTTTGTGTTTAGTGTTTTTGAAATGATAAATTAAATGAAAGAGAATGAGAGAGGAGTTTGTTTTCTCAATTTATAATATTATCTTCAGTAGTCATATTGAGTTGAGAGTAAATACTCCCAATGAGTTGCAACCCATTCACACCCCCTATCCAAAATAGTAGATCCTCGTGATTTTTTGGCCGAAGATAATAATGAAGTTTCAGAAGTTACAAAATTTCCTCTTTACCTTTCATTTTCTCCACATCTCACACGAGTATCTATATTCAAACATGACTAGAAAGTAACTAGCATTTTGTTTTGCATGAGTAACTCTTATCATTTTTTTATTTCCTCTATGTTGTAGTTATAAATGATATTTCTACTTATATATATATATATATAGGCATCTTCTCACATCTACAATGGTTATGTACGTGGTTGCAAATTCAAATCATCTTCAATCCAATAATTTCCACAAATTTTTCATTAAACCATATTCTAAAACGCTCCATACGTTTTTATTATTTTTTGTCTTTCTAATATATGTAAACTATAATTAATTCGTATTAAGACATTCATCACAAATAAACATGAATTTCATAATTTTAAAATTTTATTATTCTCACATATCTATAATGCAAAAATAATTATGGTTAGATATAAATATCTCGATCTGTGATTACAAATATCGTAGAAATCAAGTACAACGTCGAGATATTTTCTATGGAACGAACAACGTTCTAAACTACAATAGTCAAAACGTGGAAACCGATTTCTCTCTCTTGGCCTTTTGCACACATAAAACTTTTACGTGTTGTATCATTAATTGTACATAATGGATGGAGTATATGCACTTTTATAAAGACGGAGAGATGACCAGTTTTCCTTTTAGTAACCTAATTCCACTTTCCATCAAAGTAAGGAATAAGAAAGGAAAACACTCCTCCAATAAGTAATTACCAAAAAGATAATTTATAAGTTGACCAAATAATATAATATTAATCTTATATCTATTTTATTTAACCACCAAATAATATGTCACATGTCCAAATCATGTGGACCACAATTAAATAAATAATCTTACATGCTCTCACTTGGCGCATATGATAACTTCTGTAGTGGTTTAGTAAAATAGTCATTAGTATGCACCATAAATCAGATTGACTCATTGAGTTGGTCATCATAAATACCATGATAAATAAACTACCAATGCGAGTGATGGCGGTTATATGTCTCTAAATGACACAGTCCCTTCCATGTACCACAACACTAGTAACCTATTCAACATAGTCTATAAATGAGAAATATCAATAATAATCTAATAATAATGTCTTTTCTAAGACTATTCCTATTACCATTTATTAAAGCAATAACATTAATTAATAGGAAATATCATAAACACATTTAATCAGCGCAAAATGTCAAATATATATAAGCACTGTTAAGCAATCCACAATTAAAAAATAATCATCATTGACTACATTCAAGACCCATTCTTTTAACATGTTTTATAAATGTCTTGGGTGGTAGTCCATTCATTAATGAATTGCAATCATAAGTTGTGTGCTTATATATTCAATAGACATTCGTTGTTTCTAAACAACTTCTTTAATGATAAAGTATTTCAACTTTAGAATACCTATCATTTTTCATACAAGAAGATCAACAATTGCAGTATAAATTTTCAGCAATCTGAAAATGATACCCATAACTCCAAATCCTGAAATAAATTTTGCAATAATAAATTGTAGCCTCAAAGCATACTACAAATTAAAAATTCATTAAAGACAAAATAATAAAAAATTACTTTATAATTTTTCATAATATTGTTCTTCCAGCCAAAAGAAACAAATAACCAATTAAAAAATGTTTTCTTAAGTGTAAGCATATAATCTTTTATCACATACCAACTTGTATATACATCAAATTCCACAATATATGCATAAGGAATATTTTTCGTTTCTTTACCTTCTAGCTAACTCATTATTTGAGATTGCATTTGACTGAATTTATCCCCTTTTATGTATGGAACAATACTGGTTGAATAATGTTACATACCAAATCTTTCTAGAACTCTTTCAATATATGCTTTCTGAGACAATTCTAAAAAATTCACGTGATCTATCATGAAATATTTTCATTCCTATTACGTCAGATGCCTTATCCATATATTTCATTTCAAAGTTCTTATAGATAACTTTTAATTTCATACAATAAACTAAGATCACTATTAACAAATAAAATATCATCAATATATAGAATCAGAAATATAAACTTACTCTCACTAACCTTCCGGTATATACACTGATCAATAGTGTTTTTCTTTAAACCAAAAGAAATAATGGTATCATTGAACTTAAATACCATTGTCAGGAAGTTTGTTTAAATTCATATATTATCATCTTAAGTTTATAGACTATATATTCTTTACCCTCCAATGTGAAGCCTTCAGGTTGTTCCATATTGACTTCCTCTTTTAAACTCCCATTCATAAAAGTTGTATTCACATATGTAACTCTAAATTATAACAAGCTATTAATGCCATGATATTTTAAAAGATTCCTTTTTAGATACTGGAGAGAAGGTTCTTTATAATCTTTTCATTCATGGCATTGATTCATTTAGTAAAATCATTACTGTTAATGGCTTGTGCATATGTAACCGGATTCGTATATATCTCACTATATATCAAAATCAGATTCTTGCAGATATATCACATAGTCATCCGGAATGATCTCATTTTTTTTTTTTTTTGAGATCTTCTTAATGTTATTCCTCTATGATTCTTCTACAATATTTTCATTTGTGACAATCTCATCATGGAGTTGTTGATCATTCAATTATTTTTTCGTTGTTATACGGTTCAACAACTGAAGAAACAATTATTCCTTTAGAAGTTATGGATAAATAAATTTATACCATAATTTCTTGAATGATCACATTCTTATTTTTATCATTCTCACTGACTTCATCATTCTCAATGAATCTGACATTACCGGTTTCAATAATTATCGTACTATGTATAGGATAGTAAAACTTGTATCCTTTAGATTACTTAACATTCACAACATTATGGGTAATGAGGAATTACTTAACATACTCCTAACCATATCCATAATAGTACAATTACGCATTTTAGCTACACGCTTCTGCTGTGGCATATATAACAAAGTGTATTGAGCACAAATGTCATACATTTCAAAGAGTTTAGCAAACGGTTAGAGTATTTATCCATTTCATGATACTTTTCATAATATTCACCACCTCTATACGACCTTATGATTTTCACTTTTCTATCTAGTTGTTTTTCAATCACATTTATGTATACTTCAAGAATACCCATTACTTGAGATTTTTTATGCAACAGATAGATATATCCATAACGTGAAAAATTAACTATAAAGGCGATAAAATATTTTTCTCCTCCAAAAGATGGAACATCAGAAGGTCTACAAATGTCTGTATGAATAATTTCAAGAAGCCCTATACTTATTGTGGCTCATTTTTTTGTGTGTTTGGTTTGTTTACCCTTAAAATAATCTATACACACCAAAATCAGTAAAGTTTAGATTCAGAAGAATCACATCATTTACTAATTTTCCTAACATTTCACTAAATATTAACCTAGTCTTTTATGTCATAAGAAAAATAAATTTTTTATTAATTGAGTTACGCTTAATTCTAATATTATGATGCAAGATCAAAAGGTTTTTAATAAATAAAATATCAAGTTTGAATTTACAGAAATCATCAACAATAATACCATAACTCACAAATTATAATTTCTTAAATAAACATCATTATCAAATTTAAATGAAAAACCATTAATATAAAGTTTTGAAATAAAATCAAATTATTGGAAATTGAATAAACATAAAAAGTTTAAAATAACTTAAATAAAATCCACTGTCTAACATTAAACATAATGTCACAATGGTTTCAGCAAAACTTTTTCCCAATTATCATAAATAAGAAATTCTTATTTGAATTTGTGATTTAGGCCATAAGAAATTCTTACATCTATTAGAAACATAAACATTACTACTTAAATCAACCTACCGTGTATTAGAAAGAATTTCAATATGTAATTCGAAATATATAAAAGTCAAAAACTTACCATTCTTTTTGGAATCATTCTTTATATTTCATATAATCTTTTTAAAAGTGTTCAATACATTAATGACACTTTCTCATTATTACATTCATTTTTTTTAGTAGATTGACCTAAATCTTTTAATTTTGGGGGTTACTCATTTAATGCCCTTTCAGGCTTATTCCTAAATTTCTTTATAACTTTTTGAGTCATCAGATGAACATAATGATTACCTTGTTACTTAAGCCTTATCTCTTCCTAAATTAACATAATGGTCAATTCATTCATTTCCACTTGTCTTAATTCGAGATGACCCATACTTAATGGACAAGAAATTAAGAATAAATTGAATGAGAAAATTCTCATCCACAATCATCCTCAATTTTGTAGCAACATTAGTCATCTAAAGAACATACCCATACATGGTAAGAGTACCAACAAAAAATGCATAATAGTGATATAAATTAATAATTTTCGTTTTAGATATTTATCTACAATACGAAAACATTATTTTAGTCAAAATATTCCTTAGCACTATCACTATGGGAAACAATTATTCACATAACTAAAGTGCTTAATCTGTTTGATCTCTCCCAAGCTTTATGAAGAATCTTTTCTTCCTTACTATCTTTATCAGTAATAACAGTAGGTTTCTCAATTTAAAATACTAAATCAAGATTTAACACATCTAAATTTTGAACTCAGCTTACTCATTCCATTATGAGAAGTTAGTTTTACTGAGAATCAGAACAGATGTAGGATGCACATTAAAAGATGATAAAACAAATATAATAAGATAAAATACTCACAACAATAATGTTTTGAGTTAACAACACGTTTATATAACTTAAAAATATAAATACAATGTATAACTATAGTATCCCTTTGGGTGGTAACTATAAAATATTAATATGATGTTTACATGTATTTATATGTATACCTTCATTGGTGATGCATTATTTAATTAAAGAAGTTAAGTTACCTCTGGATATCCTATATATACTTAATTAAAAAATATATACAACCCCTTAATTTTTATTTAATCACTTGAAAATCAATTCTCTCTGGAGAATTATTTCTCATGGTCAAATAAACCCAATATTCATGAATATCACAAAAAATTATAAGCATCATAATTCATAAAATATTGCAATTATGTTTACTACTAAAATATATATTCATCAATAATTATGGTTAGGCCACTTTGGTAGCTACCAATCTTTACATAATATGAATATTAAATTAGATAGTAACTAATTTATGACTAATTATGTCTAATACAAAAATTAAAATTCATCAATCATTGTGATTGGGCCATTTTGGTAGCTACCAATCTTCACATAATATGAATATTAAATTAGACAGAGATTAATTAATCATTAAGTTATATTTACTACTAAAATTAATATTCATTGACCATTATGGTTAGGCCACTTTGGTAGCTACTAACCTTCACATAATATCAATATTAAATTAGACAGTAACTAATTAATAATTAATTTATCCATTTAATATTATACACTCATACTCATACTGATCGATCCAAATTTAGGTAGGTTCGATTCCAGAAGCTTAATAGTCCAAAAATTCAATAAAAAAAATATCCTTTTACTCTATATACATAATAAAATATGCTATTTTTATTTTCGGACTTGAAGATCATAATTGAATCAATTTAAAATTGATTCTCCAATATGTATGTATGTTTGGATACAAAACAATAATTTATTTATATGTTTAACAAAATTAGATTAAATTTCTAAACTCACACATTATTCCAGAAATTTAATTTTCTATAATAAAATAAATCATTCTCAATTAATTTATCATATATGTAATTAATGATATATGATAACAAGTATATATATAAGTTTGTACAAAAACCAGTAGTTAGCATTAAAATTCATCACATCGATTTACGCAAAAAGCAAAACCAACTATTTCAATTCCAATTGCTATTCTAGTCATGCACGGAATAAAAAAAACAAACTCATACATATACTTCAACCATCAAATAATTCAATAAGGATAAAAAATCAATTTATGGAAATCAATTAACAAGCTCAAAAATCGATCATACAAACCAAAATAAATTAATCAATTGATCTATCATACTAATCCATTATGCACCCACGATTCCAAAACAAATTTAATTATTTAATTTTAATTTTAATTTATATATATATTATTTATGCAAACTTTAGTGGAAAATAACAAGTTCCTAAACCATAAGCTCTAATACCACACGTAAACTATAATTAATTCGTATTAAGCCATTCGTCACAAATAAATATGAATTCTATAATCTTAAACTTCATTATTCTCACATATCTATAATGCATAAATAAATATAGTTAGATATAAATACCTCGATCTGTGATTACAAATATCGTAGAGATCAAGTCCAATGTCGAGATCTTTTCTACGGAACGAATAACGTGCTAAACCGCAATAGTCAAAACGTGGAAACCGATTTCTCCCTCTTGTCCTTTTGCACACATAAAATTTTTACGTGTTGTATCATTAATTGTACATAATTGATGGAGTATATGTACTTTTATAAAGGCAGAGAGAAGACCAGTTTTCCTTTTAGTAACCTAATTCCACTTTCTATCAAAGTAAGGAATAAGAAAGGAAAACACTTCTTTGATAAGTAATTACCAAAAAGGTAATTTATAAGTTGACCAAATAATATAATATTAATCTTATATCTATTTTATTTAACCACCAAATAATATGTCACATGTCTAAATCATGTGGGCCATAATTTAATAAATAATCTTACATTATATATATATATATATATATATATATATATATATATATATATATATATATATATATATTGTACATATTATTTGTGGCCTGGATCAACTATCTCAAATGTGTCAACTTTTTTGTTGCATAATTCTCTTAGTCTTCGAACTACATAATAATTTCTCATTAAATTTGAGATTTTATACTACGACATTATTATTACTATTATTTCAAATTATTTAAAGGACATTATCTAATGACCTACTTGGTAGAGTGGGTGTGCCATTTGATTTCCCACTCCCTAATTTGTCTAGATAAAAATAAAATAAAATAAAAAATAAAAAATTTCATAGTTCAATTATTACCATTATAGAACTAGGGTGTGACACTCGTGGTTGAATGTGAGGGGCGTTGTTCAAAGACAATGTTAGTGGTGGAGCACATACCATTCCCACATCAAATAATTATGGAGTATGAGTTATTTGAATGCCCGACTCGTTGTCAACTCTTGAAATAATTGTTTAATAACATTTTTTTAATGTATTAGCATTTTAACACATTAAATTGATTTGAGACTTCAACAAAAACAAAATTATTTGCAGTAATTGTGTGCAACTTGTTGTAACTTTTATGTAATAGTATCATAACCTACATTGCAACAAATCTAGTACACACCATTATTTTAAGCTTTAAATAACTGTATTTTAAAAATCTATCAAAAAAAATTATTCGCTTTAAATTAAAAGCGGATTTGGGATTGCTTTCCCACTTAAATGTTTAAAAATGATATAATGCAAAATATATATATATATATATATATATATATATATATATATATATATATATATATATCTTATAGAAGCATTCCAAAATATTTAAGAGATATGCAAAACCAGTTTGTGAAAACGAAAAAAATATGAAAAATAGTTTATTTTTCTATTACTCTAATTAGAGGGGAAAAAAGGAAAAAAAAAATTGAAAAAATCATGTATGAATTGGGATTCTAGAATAGTCAGGTTATAGAAATAATTGTGTTTGAGTTAGAATTTTAGAATAATCATATAAATTCTTTATATGAATCCATTTTTGTCGAGAACACGTCAATTTCCTATTACTATTTGGCCCCAATTGAAAATTGTTTTGAGTAGATGTTTCATTTGTTAGGTAACTATTTTTTTTAAACAATTTTATATCTTTTATAAAAATAATTTCATCCATTCTTTTATAAAGCCACTATCAAATATAGTCACACTCTTGTAATATTATTGTAATAAAGACATTATTGTAATATTAATAATAAAGGTGTTTTAAACAATTTTGTTACTAATTTTTTATTATTTATTATTTTTTTAATTTTTTTCCTGGCAACAACTACAATAAAATAGAAACTAAACAGAACTCCAACCGCTCAAGCAGCAACATCCTCCTCCAAAAACTTAAGGATTGAAGAAGGCTTGGACTGAAGAACCAAGTCCGCTTCCATCTCAGCACACGATGAACCTGCCAATGCATGAGCTACCTGATTACAAACTCTTCGCACATGCATTAGCGAGATTGTAGGAAAATCCTGAAGCTTCTTTCTCATAACAGACACCAACGAAGCAAATGCACCCTCGCCAGATCGAACACCCGCTAAGGCTTCCACCACTACTTTAGCATCCGACTCAAAACAGACATCCTGAAATTTAAACACTTTAGCCCAGTAAACAGCACGGCGAAAAGCATAAGCCTTAGCCTCAAGCACAGACAAGGAAAAAGACGGCTTAAAAATCACAGCTTGTAGAACCGAATCAGCTGAATTCCGAAACACCGCCCCTCCACCCCCTAATTGAGAAGACTTTGAAAAACTTGCATCCACATTACATTTAATTGTGGTATGCAATGGACGATTCCAACGGTTATAGGACACAATAGAAAATAAAGGAGAAATCAGCGGCTTACATTTCAGCTGCACATTCAGAAATTCCCAAAAACGGGCCGTAGCTAAATTAGCTACCACGAAAGGATCCCACACATCCTTCTCAAAAACTTTTTTATTTTGAGCCTTCCAAAGCATCCACGCACAAAAGGAAGCTAGCCCAATTAGATCACCTTTATTTTCCGTTGAAGACAAAACGTCACTCGAAATGTTATCCCACCATTCAACAAAGGATAAAGGAGAAGATTGAGAAAAATCCCAACGAAGAGGTGTTAACTTCCAAGTCTAAACCGAGTGAGGGCAACGGAAAAAAATATGATTAATATCCTCTATCTCCAACCCACACCTCGGACACACCGGATCCTGCAAGTAATTGCGGCGAACCAACGCAGTTGGTATATCACCATAACAGCATTTTCAAACAAAATGTTCAATTTTAGAAGGTAAAGAAAAGCTCCATAACTTACTCCAAAATTGACCCGACACCTGTGAACCATCCATCCTACTCCCACTTCGTTGATTCGGGTTATAAAGAGACATAGCTAACTGTTACTAAATAAATTAAAAACTACTTTTATGGTGAAAACTGTTTTAAGTTTTAACATTTAACAATGTATCATGTTTACCACACCTAACATAACAATTTTATGTTTACGAAGGGGCTTGTAGACACTTCTGGGTTCTAACGAGGGCAAAAGTCAAAAGTGGGTGTATTAGTTTTCTTGTCAATTAAAAAATAAAGACGATTTTGTGTTTTTTTTTTTAAAAATTTTTTATTTAGATTAATTTTATTGACACTCCTAATTTTTGGACAAGTATCACATCGGAATACATTTTGAAAATTACTATCACTTACTCACATTATAACTTTTTGATCCGTTTTTTACCCACACTTCAATATTATTTTTCACCTCAAAGTACTTTTGCATGTAAAATAATGTTGCTATCCTTTTGGCTGACTTATAAAATTGATTAAATTGACTTGGATTGCCTTTAACTTTAACTTTGTAAATTTGCAATTATCCTTTATTTAGCTCAATTGTGTCTCTTGTGCGTAGAAGGAAAATATATCAATGGAGCTCTGTTCACCTTTTATTTTGCACTCACTGATTTTTTTTTTTGCCCTTTAGGGTGGGGGAGGTGCACTCATTGATTTTCATATTTAACTGGGTATGGCCACGTTTAAACCCATTCCCATGAAGCTTAATGTGTGTGTGTGTGTGTGTAACTTACAATATATATGCATATCTCAGGTTGCATCCAAATTCAGTGACTATAACTTCTACTGGAATGAAAAAATTATAACAGCCTACACAAGAAAATATCCTTTATATACACATATAAATTAGAGAGAGGAAGAAAAGTAAGAGCGAGGGAGTGCGTAACTGAGAGTAATTAATGAGGGTAATTATATCCTTTTAAATGCTGATATTTTAAAATAAAAGGTATTAAAAAATTAGGAGCACATTTGTCTTTTAGCATAATTTTAGGGGTGCAATTTGGGTTGGGTAATCCGAACTCAATTCGAGTTCAACCCAATTTTTCACGGATTTGGACAATTATTTTTATAATTGGAGATGGGCTTGGGTTGAAAATAATCAATCGAAATTTAATTAGGTTTGGGTTTAGGTTGAAGTGCTAGCAATCTGAGCCAACTCGAATCCAAATTCTAATATTATCTTCATTTTTTTTTTTTTTTACTTTTAAATACATTATATATAATATTTAAACTATGATTACTTTTTTTTTTCTTTTCGACTTCTTTTGTTAAATTTTAACTTATTATGTTAACAATGAGGAGAATTAATTTTCTAAAAAATTGTTTATAATTTATTAAAAATCTCCAAAAAAACCTTTAAACTTTTTCTTGTTAAGAGTAATTTAATCTAAAACTAATTCAAGATGATATTAAATTTTCAGTGCAAGGATTAACCATATGAGTAACCCGAATTAATTCGAAATTTTTACCCGGAATCTAAACCCAAATTTAAAAGTAGAAAAATGAGTTGGACTTGAGTTGAGTAGTTAAGGTAGATGATAGGGTTAGAGTTGGGCTTAGGTTTACCTCAAACCCGCCCAACCCACCTTAGTTACAGCCTTAGTAAATTTAAGGGTTAAGTGCAAAAAACTCTCCTGATATATAAGGTTTGTGCAGAACTAGTCCATACTTTTTGAAAATGTGAATGTTAGTCTATAAAATTCAAAAAAGGTGCAAATAAGCCCCTCTGACCACTTTTTGACAAAAACTAAAGGCTCGCGTGCGCTTTACACCCCTATGATATCGATATAGTGCGTATAACCCCCCATTGTTTGTTTACCTCCCCTATACTTTAAAAATGGTGCGAATTAGTGCATTTTGGGCGTTGACTGCTATTGACCGGTACCGAAGCTTCAAGAAGACTAAAATAGCCCTCTATCTATGATTTTAAAAAACTAATAATATAACATAAAATGTGAAAAGACTAAAATAGCCCTCTATCAATACTTCATCTCTGTTCTCGTTCTCGACTCTGATCTTGCCCCCCCTCTCTACAACTGCAAACTACAAAACCATATAAGAATCAGAAGTTCAAATCCCATATATCTATCTGTTTGCAAGAATCAAAATTTCAAAACGAACTAGGAAAAAAAGTTCAAAACCTAATACCTATCAAAACCCATATCGGCATATCATTTCAAATTGTTCAAAAAATTAAAACCCATATATTTCAGTTTCCATTTCAGATTGTTCAAAAAATCAAAACCCATATCTTCAGTTTCCATTTCCAATTGTTCCAAAAATCAAAACCCATATCTTTCGGTTTCCATTTCCGATTATTCCAAAAATCAAAACCCATATCTTCAGTTTCCATTTCAGATTGCTCAAAAAATCAAAACCCATATCTTTTAGTTTCCGTCGTTGTTGGATGGCCGGTGAACGAAAAAGCTAGAAACGGACAATCGCCGTCGTCCACTGTCGGACTGTGATTCGCCGTGGTCTCGCCGATTTGCCTGGTCGCTAAAGCTGATATGGTGTTTCAAATTCTCAGTTAGGAAAGGTGGTGTTTGGACGTGACTGTATAACCCTTATTCATTTTGACGAAATCCCAAAATTAAATCCCCAAATCACACTAAATTATCAGAAGTGACGGCGATGGTGGGGTGATGGCAGTGGGTTTGTGTTGTTAAATTGGGTTTGACGGTGTGGTGGTGGTGTATGTTTTGGAGTGATGGCAGTGGGTTTGTGTATGTTTGGGGTGGTGCCACTGGGTTTGCGTGGTGGCATATGTTTCACGTTGAGCGGCAGAGACGGTGTTGTTGGTGGGAGGTGAGGAGGTGATGGCCGGCGACTGACCGCCATGGAAGTGGGAAGTTCTCTCTCTGGTTGGGAATATATATATATATATATATATATATATATTCCCAACCAGAGAGAGAACTTCCCACAGAGAATCGAAATCAATATGGGAATTATCTTCATCGCAAAAAACTTGGAAAATTAGGTTAAACCCTCTGCAATCCAGTCGGGTTGGGTTCGTCGAAACAAGCAATTGGGTTTCAATATGAACATCAATTCGGTGACGAGACCACGCTCTCGATTTGGGTTCGCCGAAACAAGCAATTAGGTCTAATTTGAACCATCAATTCGGCGACGAGTGAAAGGGAGGTGTGTCGCCGGAGAGGAGTGGTGAGGGTTTATTTGGATTTCAATCCCTCTGTTTCATATTTAACTATTTTTCTCTCTCTCTCTCTGTAACTGCAAACTCTTTCTCTCTCTCTGTAACTGCGAACTACAAAATTTACCCATAAATACTATATATATATGGTGAGGGGTAGTATAGGAATACTAAAAGGGCAATTCCGAAATAAAGGGTTTAAATGCACATGACCAACTGGCGTCCAATTCTCACCAGAATAGTCACCGGAGGTGGCTAAATTGCACATTTTTATATCTGGTAGGGATTTATATAAATAAATCTAACAAAAGGGGTATAAGTCATACAAATTTAAAACTACATGGGTGTTTTTCAGGCTTTCCCCAAAACTAAATATGAAAATCCGATTTTACCCTTTTGTTTTCCATTTTGCCCCTCACCTATTTGTGCATATAACCCCCTGCTACACCCATTTCCTTGCCCCCCCCCTCTCTCTCTCTCTCTCTCTCTCTCTCTCTCTCTCTCTCGTGATATATATAGCTATCTGCCATTTGTTCTATAACTTTACATGTTTTCTACTTCCACGGGCACTTTGTTGCATACCGATTGTTTTTTACATTGGAGTCATGTTTGCTTGCATGAAATCTGAATATGATATTAGAAGAATTAATTGCTGGGTCATGGTTGGCTGACAGCATGTTTGTATTACAACAGCTCTTGAACGTGATAAAACATTTAACAGTGAAAATATCAGCCAAATGGTTCAAGAGCATCACACTAGAAGAATTTAGGTCATGAGACAAAGATCTAACCCCTTCACGTGAAAAATTACTCCAAGTTGCTTATACTTGTAATTTTTTTAATTTTTTTTTATCAATTCAATAGATTACAAGGTTGTGGGAACTAGGTGCACGTTGCTGATGCGGGGTTGGGAGTCGGAGACTTCCTGACATTGAAACCTAGGGGCTAATTCTCTTTCAGCCTTGTGGACGGGCGGGCTGGGCTGGCATCCTTTGGTGGTTAGCCGCTGCATCAAATTCTTATTTGTTTATGCGTCTTTTTATATTATTGATGGGTATATTAAGACGTGATCTTTGGGACCAATGGAGGAATCACCACATAAGTCACAACAACTCTGCGATGGATTTCACCAGTGAGGGTATTATTGTCATTTTAAATCAGGATTTATTTGGACCAAATTGATAGTATAAAGAGTTTTATACCACACATGGACCTTTTTGCAATATATCAATTGTAGAGGAGTTTTTTTCGCACTTAACTCTAAATTTAAACCTAAGTGATAATAATTTTTGAGAAGGGTTTCAACGTGATATTTGTCCAAATTTCGGAGGCTGTGTTGAAATTAATCCTTTTTATTTTAACAGCAACAGCAAAAGAGGGTATAACTGCGTGTAGATAACATTTACAGCATATTGAAACTCGACTTTAACATGGTGAAAATTCTCCTGCAATAATTTTTTCTTTTTGGCCTTTGTTTTGGTATATACAGTACACGCGCGAGTTAGAACTTTCTCCTTCTGCACCATCGTTCCCAATTTGCTGGCCTTTCTTTCTCTCTCTAGACCGAGCAGGATGCAGGCCATTTCCAGGCGATTAGGGCACCAATCTTTCAAGTCCAATGCTGCAATTTCCTCCTTTAAATCCATCTACCCACTCTACGATCAATGTAATTTATCTACATTTCTAGGTTATACATATATAACTACCACAAATTTGTGTATAGGGTTTTGGACTTGTTGATCGATTCAATTTTAGGTTTTGTTTGGCGTGATTTATTAATCAAGCTCGTGAGCTCGATTACTGATCTTTCTTGCAGGTTATGGTGCTGATCATCCGCGGTACGCATCTACCCTCACCACCAAAGGCGTGGGACATCTAGTTCGCAAAGGCACAGGTGGAAGATCATCCGTTAGGTAACACTAATCCTCAATTATAATAATGTGGTTTTTCTCAGGTTTAATTTATTCTTATATCAGTTCAAAGCGTTGTTAGATACAATCCTATATTTCTTTGTTTTCTTTTTGTATTCAGCCTTGATGTTAAATTATTTAAATGAGAATAAGATTTAAGCTGTGAATTTTATTTCAAATTGCTTCAAATTGGGTTAAATATATAACTTGATACTGTAGTCTCTGGTAATGGCATTGTAAATGTCCATTATTTAAATTTATTCTCTTATAAACTTTGGTCCTTCATGTTTTAATTCTGTCATTGGATTTAATTAATTTATGGGTTTTGTTATGATTCCATGTCTAGCTAACATTCTATAATAAGCATACTGAAGCTCTAACTTGTGTTAAGTTCTGAATTCCAGTTCTTACAAATTTGAACTGCATTCTTATGTAATTTAACACGTATCTGGCAGTGGCATTATTGCTACAGTGTTTGGAGCTACTGGGTTTCTTGGGCGTTATGTTGTGCAACAGCTTGGTGAGTTGAATACTAACTTTTTCTTTCAATTGGTAAATACTATACTGACTGTGGTTTTGTTTTAGAGATTTTTTTACATCAATATGAAACAACTTTTGTTGTTCTAAACTTGGCTCGATGAAAGTGTTCCATATTTATGCATGTACTTTATTTCTCGTCAGCTAAAATGGGGACTCAAGTGTTGGTTCCTTTCCGAGGTTCTGAGGATTCTCATCGTCATCTAAAATTGATGGGTGATTTAGGACAGGTAAAATAGCATATGGTTTTTTCCCTTGCAAGCGTTCTTGTTTAAGATTCTTAGTTTTCTAATTAGTTAGACCTGCTCAGCAGTGTTGTTCTACATTTCCTTAAAAGTGGGCTTTCTTGTATCTATTTAAATGCAGATAGTTCCAATGAAATACAACCCAAGAGATGAAAATTCAATCAAGGCAGTAATGGCAAAGGCTAATGTTGTCATCAATCTGATCGGTATGTGTTTTTCATCTGTTACTTTACCTATCTACAATCTGGTTAATTTTTGTGCCTTTAAAAGATTTGTGCTTATCAATTGCCGTGTTGGCAGGAAGGGAATATGAGACTAGAAATTATAGCTTTGAGGAGGTGAATTATCATATGGCTGAACAACTTGCAATGGTAGGTCCCAACACTTACATTATCTTTATTTTTACTCCAATAATTTTGGAACTCTACTTCTCCTGAATGTGAGTTGGATCAAGTATGATTTTTAAGAAGTTAAACAAGTGCTTGGCAAAATGGTCACACAGAAAATTTTCAGGATTTGTGCTCGTCTTGCCTATAAAGATATAATTTTATTGTGGTAGGAGCGCACACACACAAGGAGAGAAGCACACCCTGATAAGAAGCTTGTAGGACTTGCACACAAATTGTTATGGAACCATACCACTTATCTAATCATGAAATGGAATTGAGTTCTTAACTGAAATGATTTCACCACTCACCTAATCATTTTTTTACAAAAATATTAATAAAGAGATTATATTTGCATTTTTGAAATTTTTTGGTCTTGGCAATGTTGTATATTTCAAATTATATTGTTATTATTTATGCAAAATAAATAAAGCTCATCGCTTCATGCATTGGTAAGATCTTTTGTCCTCAAATGTGAGGAAGCGAGTTTGAGTATGAAGGCAATCAAGTGCCAAATGTTAGGTTTGTAGGTAATCGATCTCACAGAATCCCCTGGATTAATATTTCAACCCATGCTTGGTTATGTCCTTTATTTATACAAAACAATATATGAATTCATCAAAAGAACAAAAAATCATTTATGTTTGGTTTTTGTTTGTCTCGAGAGGACCGTTACTTAATGGTGTTCCCAACTATGCTAGAAGCTGGGAGCATTCTGTTAGGTATGTACCCAACATTTGCAGGAGATGGCCATACTTAGATTATTCAAACCCATTATCACTAAATGCCTCAAATTTAAGACCTTTTTATTCATCATGGTAAAGTCCCATAAAGAAAAATGGGAAAGAATTGCCTTCGTAGAGGCTTAAGGTGCCAAGGTATCCTAAAATCTAAACACAAGGCAAAATTTAAGGCCTGGGCCTGAGTAAACTAAGGCAAGTGTGGAATAGGAAAAATGACAAAGTGTCATTGCATTGAGTATGTCCTACATATGTTTAGTGTTGGTTAGGAAAGACCTAAGGCGGACCTAATTTTTTGTATTATTTGTATGAAGTGACTGCTTTGAGACAAACTTACATCCAACTTATTAGCTCAAGCTTTGGCATCTCACTAAGTATTGCACGTGTGTGGTAGAAATGCATATTAAAAAATAGTTAAAAAAATAAAAATAAAAATATTGATGTCCAACACAAGTTAATTCAGATTAACTTATGAAATTTTGCAATGGATGAACTAAATTAATTTACAAGTATATTTTATGTTGGAGAATAATTATAAGAGTTAAATCTCCCTTAAATCACTTCTTGACAGAATGTTAAAGTTGCTATACTTGGGCAACAAGTTGTTACCATATTTGTATTTGAATTTCTATGTAATTCCTTTATTATAGCTACAAGTCTTCCCCAATTCACCTATAAATAGAGATGGTTATTGTAAACAAAATTAAGAGAGAATGTAATGAAAGAGATGTAGCCTTTTGGGCTGTGTGTCGTGAATGTAAGCTTTAGTGGCTGAACAACTTTATGTCTATTTGTTCTTCATATTATAATTTCTCTTTTCAACTTTGATATCTTTCAACATAGTATCAGAGCAGGTTTATCATACCCTACTCTATACTCTACTTATATTGGATCTTCGGATCAACACATCTTGGATTTTCGAATCAACTCGTCTCGGATTTTCGGATCAACTCGTTTCGGATCAGATATTCAAATTAACTTGTCTCGGATCTCCGGATCAACTTATCTTTACTCGTCTCTAACTCTTGACAACTCCATACTTAATTTCAAGTTGGACACTTGAGTTAAATATCTGAGTACCAACTTGAGGGGGGGTGTTGGAGAATAATTATAGGAGTTAAATCTCCCTTAAATCACTTCTTGACAGAATGTTAAAGTTGATATACTTGGGCAACAAGTTGTTACCATATTTGTTTTTGACTTTCTTTGTAATTCCTTTATTATAGTTACAAGTCTTCCCCAATTCACCTATAATTAGAGGTGGTTATTGTAAACAAAATTATGAGAGAATGTAATGAAAGAGATGTAGCCCTTTGGGCTGTGTGTGTCGTGGATGTAAGCTCTAGTGGCTGAACCACGTTATATCTATTTTTTTTTTCATATTATAATTTCTCTCTTCAATTTTGATATCTTTCAACATTTTCAATTTTTATATACATTGGATTGAATCAATATGCAATGGAAACAATTCAGAATATTCAACGCAAAACTAGTCTTTTTTTTTTTTTTTTTGAATTGAAACTTGTTTGCATAACAACTATGATGAGGGTTACCTAAATCAATGCACTTCTATTTCAAATATAGAATAATAGAAGGCTATAATCATATACATTTATACATGTATTACATAATTATTCAGAATCAAGTACTAGTATTTATGCAAATGGTAAATCATGGGATCATGAATTTGGAAACCAAAGATCCCATAAGGTTAAACAATATGATTTAATGATTTATCAAAGATGACTGATATGATATGAGTATATCAATTAATGGTCACTAAAAAGGTAAAAAATTATCAAATGATTAAAAAAGCAAAGGCGAAACTTTTTCTGAACCTTTATACCACTAAAAAAGCACATGCCTGAGGACCTTATGTCAAATAGTAAATCATGGGATCATGAATTTGAAAACCAAAGATCCCATAAGGTTAAACAGTATTATTTATCAAATGACTGATATGACATAGTGTAAATCAATTAATGGTCACTAAAAAGTAAAAAAATAAATAATTTTTTTTTATCTAGTTCATAGAAGCACTTTGGCTGAGTCTGATGAGCCCCGTGTCTTTTTTGTAGTCTTGGTGTGCGGTCTCACTTTAGTCTTAGTTGTATGAATCATTGTAGAAATTAGATGAGGAAACATTTAAAATTTTGAGTTATAATGTTTTCTTGTCGCAGTGGTAAAATGCTTGGGTTCTCAAATGAATTCTTAGAGAATTTACTTTGTGCCAAAAATGTTAGGTCTGTATCCAATTTGTTCCTTCCAACACCCTCGATTAACGGAACCAGACTGGATAATGACCCTTGAAGCATAAATATACAAATGGAGGAAGGGTTCTTCACTCATAAGAAACTACAGACAACTCATACCAAAGAATAAACTTCAAAATCCACACTAACTCAGCCCTAATCTCCCCTCTTGAGGTGTAAGATGCCCTCTAATAATAAATAGATGCAACACCTCCATCTTTAACCCAAAAAAGTTATAAAAAAAGAAAGAAAAGAAAAAAGCTCTCAAGAGTTTATATAGGATTCTTTTTTAGCTTTGCTTACAGAAGAAAAATACAAGTATCTATAATCTCCAGCATTATGGGGGCCTAGTGCAATTATCCAAAACTTGAGATTTAACTAAATCACAACCTTTTTATCATGCTTGACGATTATAGAAGATGCTTCCCAGAGTCCTGGGAGAGTGAGAATATCTGGTTGTATGGCAATCCAATTCCTGGTCCTCAGAGAAAGCAATTGTTGTACTGCCTCAATGATATCCAGAAATGTCCCATTCCCCATTTGATGCTTCCGAATGCAAGACCATTGATATTGAGCTTGGTTCTTTCTTTCAGGGGAGTAATTCAATTTGGCTATCAAGTTATGACCTTTAACCAATCAGAAGTGTTAGAGAAATCATTATAGGAGTGATTTAAGTCTTTGATAGAATATTGATTGGTGTGATTCATGAGAGCAATCTTAGGGATCCTCCATCAATATATTTTTCATATTTATCACATGATTGTATTCTTTCACCTATAAATAGATGTGGTCATTGTAAACAAAACTAAGAGAGAATTTAGTGAAAAAGATGTAGCCCTTTGGGCTTTGTGTGCTGTGGATGTAAGCTGTAGTGGCCTAACCACGTTATATTGTTGTGTTCTTAATGTTTAATTTCTCTCTTCAATTTATTTATCTTTCAACAAGAAGAAACTGGAACCAGTCTCATAAATCAAGATGAAGGTCATCTCTCTTAATTTTGTTGGTCTCAGAGGCCTAAAGAGGGACCAAAAGCAGCACCTTAAAAGCTCAACACTTTCTGGGGAATGAGCTCGATCCACTTTTTCTCTAGGTAGCTCAATTTTTTTTTGAAGGATACATCTTTTACAACTATGTAGGCTTAAGAGCCCCTTATTTACCAAGTCAAATCCAGAGGTTACTACTTACATTGATCTAGGCTAGAGGCAGACCTAGCCGTGCACTGTGTCTTTCGGCTTCATCGAATTCAGTCTAAAAAGCACGACTCATATATTTATGCTTCCAATGTCAATATATTACTTGTAAATATATTATCAGGTATGATTGAAGGACGTCGGTGTAACAAAATACTGATCAATTCTCACTTTGACCACCAATCCAGAGTGATTAATATTTCAGGATGAGATAGCAATTTTAGATGAATTTAACAATAAAAGTTTCTGATCCATTTCATCTTTAAGCTTCTATTATAATGAGGCTGTTGGATTATGGTGATGCTTAATTTTCTGGTTGATGTATCTCTCTCTTTTATTATGATAATGATGAAAAGGAGAAAGCAAAAAGGGGGTGGGCCCCCCCAGAAACTGGTAGGTACAGGAAAAGTAAAATACCTCACAAGAGAACCACAATATTACTAGTACAAAGCGAATAAAGAAAAAAGAAATATGGCCCAATCATTTTTCAACCTCCTTTTAGAGTCAGCCCAAGACCTGGATGGTAGGACTTAATCAAGAATGTGAGCCTTCATGCTGTTTGAACGACCCCCAAAAATAATATTAGCATTCATCTCTTTCTGTAAGGCCTAGGAAACTGCCCGATCCTATATGATTTTCCCTGTAAGACCCAAAGCTTCTGTATTCCAGTTATGAAGATTCCTCAAAGATGGTTAAAACCCTAATATGTCCTGAACAGGCTATTGGCTGCATTGAGGCTCGAAATGACAATGAATCAGTATATGTTCGACTGAGTTTTATGAACATCAGTAGTTGATGGATAAATAAGGAGAGCTGGACCTCTTATATCAAATTAATTCACCACTGAAATTTAATGTAACATGACCATCCATGTCAGGCTTGGACGTAACAAAAATAGACCACACCATCTACACTACAATTGAGCTATTGACCACATTATTAAGGAGAGAAGAAAATTTTAATTGAAAGGATGACCACCTGATATGGTGTTCCTGTTCTCGCAATTAGCAAGGGATGTCGTCAACAGTGATTCAGATTATCTGCGGCATACATCACTTTTCAATATATATATATATATATATATATTTTGGTTGGAAGGGTGCCTGTTATACTATTTTTTGTTGGAAGTGAGTCTGATGTAATATTTTTTGGTTTGCGTCTGATGTGGAAGGATTAATATCTTATGTGTGGCTCTGTGCAGATTGCCAACGAACATGGTGGTATCATGAGATTTATACAAGTTTCTTGCTTAGGTTCATCTCCATCATCTCCATCCAGAATGCTAAGAGCTAAAGCTGCTGCTGAGGAAGCTATTTTGCGAGAAATACCTGAGGTGAGATTGTACTTCTGTTTGAAATCATTTTGTCTTGGTTCTGCACAGCCTGAGCCGACAATGATGATTTTGGTGATTTTTATAATAAGTATCTTTTTATAATTAAACTTGTTTAAAATTGAGGGTTTTAGAATTAATACCTGGACTAAATTCTCCTTTATTTTGTTTGCAAGTCTCTAGCTTTATGAAATTGCTGGGTTGCACTCCGTCATCATCTTGCGCTTTACATTTATGCAATTCAAAGTTGTAATTGATCACATATTTTAAATTCATCACTATTTGTTACTTGTTGATGTTTGGTGGTTGACCAGCGCATCATTAAGTGTGACTCTGCTTTGCTGAATTATGTAAATTACAAGTCTTTCCATTTGAATTTTCCTTGCTACGTACTAGTAAATCTCTGAACATCTTTTACTTTGGTTTCAAACTTTCGTTTCATTGTAATTCAAATTATTTATATAAATTAGTGTACTGAATCGCGTCATGAGTCTTAAAATGTTTTGTCATTTTCACATCTTAAAATGCTTGAACCTGATGATGACTGAACCGTCTGGATGCTGAATCCACTTCACAGCTAGCCAATGCTCTTTCCCTGGATTATCCATCTATCTACTAACAACACTGACTGCATGTGAAATATAAAGGCAAAAAAAAGAACTCAATTTTCAATCTTGGATGGAAGATCTCTCTGAAGACATTTTTCTGTTGTATCATTTTCTAAATATATACTTTTGGGATGGAATTTGGTTCTCTGTAGCCCCCCCTCCTCCTGTCTCACCTCACATTACTTGTCTTACCAAGCAAAACAATTTGTTTTTCAGACTGTAGGTGATGATGACTATTTAAAGAATTCCTATTGCCTTGGATGACCTAGAAAAAAGTAAATACAGCCAATGATAAGGTTGACTTTAGGTTCAATTGTGGCATTTATTTACAGAACTCCATGAAGCTTATATGTGAATATATTACTGTGGTGTTTTTTATAGGGAGTTACTGACACACTTCCATGTTCAGGCCACAATAATGAAACCGGCAGTGATGGTAGGTACAGAAGATCGGATTTTAAATCCGTGGGCACATTTTGTTAAAAAATATAGCTTCCTTCCACTTATTGGGGGTGGATCTACCAAGTATGGCTTATATTACCTGAAAATTTATTGAATTTTGTAAAATATTGGGAATGTGAAACTTTAGTTTTTACGTGTTGCTTTGATTAACTGTCTTTCCAGAATTCAACCTGTGTATGTTGTTGATGTTGCTGCTGCAATCATTGCGGCCTTAAAAGATGATGGCACAAGCATGGGAAAAGTATATGAACTCGGTGGACCAGATGTCTTTACTTTGCATCAACTGGTGAAATTTCTGCCCTTCTCTTTTCTCTCTTTTTTATTCCTTTTTTCCCTTTCAAGTTCTTGCTGTCTGATTGTGTAGATTTTTAACTGAACTCCAAATGTGCTTCAGGGAGAGCTTATGTACGACATGATCCGTGAATGGCCTCACTATGTGAAAGTTCCTTTCCCTATAGCTAAGGTGAGTATTTAACCTGTTGCGTCTTGGAGTATTCAGATGCCATATGAACTTGTGTGTAGGCAATAGGTATAAATGAACTTATTTTGTTTTCTTATTTCGAGTCTTCAAAACGATAACCAGATTTCTAATTACTTGGAATTGGCTATGTGAATCTTTCTTGGCTCATCCGCAATGTTGAGGTTCATATCCTCTGTTTAATGATAGGCTTCCGTTAAAGTCTGCAGGCTAAGATCTTAAATTTAAGGAATTGTGTTCATAAAGGTTGGAAATTAAGGCTTTACCTGGTTTTCTATAATAAAAGATAAGGGACTTCTTATCAGACCCAGGAAAAATAAATAAATTCTTGAAGGAGTAGATAAATAATTTGATGAAATTTGTATCTTATGTCATCCTTAACAAAGGACAGAATATGTTCATCTTTATCAAAGAAGTGAATAACATCTTCAACATTTGTGTTAAAAGTTCATCATTTCATTTCCACATTGCAATTAAAAAGGCCCCGTCCATTGGTTCTAATTACTGCAAAGATATACTTTTCCTATTTATCTGGGTGTGTAACTGGTCTATTCTAATTCAAAAGTGTTCAATGGTTATTTAGAAAACACCCTTTATTTTGCTGCGAAGCAACTTGTTCGACAATTTAAGTGCTCTGTTAGCCATTTGCAGGTTTTCTTGCTTTATAACCCAAAAACAACTGAATCCTTTACCTTTAAGTATTTGCTTGCAACTTTTTTAAAAGTGGATATTGATCAGAGGAATTTATTTGTACTGAAAACAATATACTGCTTTCATTAGATTATAATTTCTTTTTCTATTCAATGGGATGCCTTTTTTATTCCTAATTCTGAAAGATCCATGTTCACTTATTTGAAGCCGCCAACCAAGTTGCAGGCCTGCATGTGTGTTTGTATTTGTGCGTGCTAAAATGTTTTTTTTTTTCATATTAAACCTTTTATATGTATGATTTGCCAATGAGTCACAACTTCAGTTTTGTGCTTTAACTTTGACATATTTTTGTGCTTTCTAGCAGCATCAGATGGACACTTAGCAGATGACTAAGTTTAACTGTTGAATTATATCATAATCGTGTGTCCGTGTCAATGATTTCAGGCGATTTCAACGCCCCGAGAAATATTGCTCAACAAAGTTCCCTTTCCGTTACCTACTCCTAGCATGTTCAATCTGGATATGATCAACGCCCTTGCTACAGATACAGTTGTGTCAGCAGATGGTTAGTGCAATAATATTGCTCTCGGGTTTGTGTTCACATGCAGAAATTAATGTTTTGTACACATTTCTCACCTCAACTTTTGGTTTGTTTTGCAGCTCTAACTTTTGCTGATCTGGGAATTGTGCCTCGTAAGCTGAAGGGATATCCTGTCGAGTTTCTTATCTCATATCGTAAGGGTGGGCCAAATTATGGTTCTACTGTCAGTGAAAGAGTTTCTCCAGAGTCATATCCATAAGATTCTTTGGGTCTTTAATTTTGAATGTTCTATCCGAAATTGACACCCAACTGGAAGCGTATGTATTGCACACTACGAAGATTCCGAGTACAGAACTTGAATGTCATATTCTTGACAAAGAGTGTGTAATTACCATTTATGTCAGTAATTGAGTTTTAATAATGTTTTGGATCTGTTATGCAACAGAAATAACAATTGTAGGTTTTTGTGTTAACCAATTTAGTTTTCAAACTATTGGTTTTCAGAGGGTGCCTGTTTTCGTTGAGAAGAGTAAGAAAGAATAAAGACATGAAGAGTTACTTCAATAATAACATTATTGTATAACTCTGAAAAATATTCTGTTCTCGTTGTTCGAGAAAAGATGCAAGTGGTTTGTTTTGGATGGTTCTCAAGTCTTGATTTTAGTACTTGTAGGGGAACCAATTGTATTTGTTTCCATGACTTGTCCGCATTTGTATTATTTCTATTTGGTAACGTGAAATATAATATCTCGCCCTTTTTATTGATTATTACTAACCCTTCTAGTTGGCTTTTAAGGCTGCCATTATGTATTAAAATTAATTGATAGAAAATTCAATAGTTAGTCATGTTCTGATTATTCGAAACAAGCATTGCTGGGAAGCTAAAAGAAACACTCCAAGAATCATTAACAACCGTAAAGTCGTAAACACACGAGTAGAGTTTCATCATATTGTGAATGGCCGAGTGGTTGCTCAGGAACTAAAATTTCAGGTTTGACTCTCCTCGAGCTTACTGTATGTGCATGTGGTTGTGGGTGTTTGCATTGCATCTATACGAGGAATGGTGGGTGTTGCTGCATCTGTTAGCTTGGCATGTTTCTGAATATAGTGTATATTTCTTTATCATTGTTAAGAATAATCATCGCTCCTGTTTCGAAGGAGGAGAGTTGTGAGTTGAAGAGTCGAGCTAGCTATTATTTGAGTTAATTTGGGTTTCTGATTTGATTTCTTGTGTCATATGAATTTACCCAGGTTTCAAGATGATAGATGGTAGATTTTGTAGTGGAACTTTGATTATTTATGCCATATTCGGTTGCATAGAATTGGTGTCGTAGAATTGAAATTGGAGAAATTTGAACTATATTTTCTCCAATTCCAGGCAACTGAGCATAGCATACCGTGTTCGAGTTGGTTTTATAATTGCCATAGGTGGTGAGATTGACCTGGATACCTTGTTAGTAACAAACAACAAGGTTATACTTGGCAAATACAATATTATTGAGAAAGAGTGTTGATTATAACGTAGTGGAACTTTGATTCTTTATGTCATGTTCGGTTGCATAGAATTGGTGTCGTAGAATTGAAATTGGAGAAATTTGAACTAAATTCCCTCCAATTCCAGGCAACCGAGCATAGCATAACGTGTTCGAGTTGGTTTTATAATTGCCATAGGTGGTGAGATTGACCTGGATACCTTGTTAGTAACAAGAAGGTTATACTTGGCAAATACAATATTATTGAGAAAGAGTGTGGATTAGGTCATTCCAAGGAACATATGGTTTACTTGTAGTTGGAGGAACATATGCTTTACTTGTAGTTGGTAAAAGTAAAGAACCAAACTGTTTGAATTGAAAAACCCACCATGAAAAGCTTCTTCATTCACTCCAAACCAGAAGAAGAAACTGCAATCATCTGATGTCCACACAAAGCAGCCATGGCTCCTTTGTACGCGTGAAGCTGGAAGGACCGAATGTCGGGGCAGCGATGATCGCACGCCGTGGGACTTCTTCTTCTGGTGTGTCCCATGAATGTTGTAGCATAAACATTTACATAAACAACAATGTCCAGGGAATAAGCAACTCTGTTCTGCTTGGCAGTGGTGTGAACATGGGTGATCCTGGAGTTGTCTTGTCCATGAGTGGTGTGAATTTAGACAATGGACTCCTGGGAACAAACAAGGGAAAGAGAAGCAGCAGTTCATTTCTGGGGTTATGTTGGATATTCTTGTTTGTATTTATTCTTCTTTTCTTGTTGCTACATAAAATATAGAAGCATATATATATGTATATATGTGTATTTGCCCCTTCTTCTTCTTCTTCTTCTTCTTCTTCTTCTTCTTTTTTTCTTTTCTTTTTTTAAGAGTTTTTTCTTTTCTTTGTTTAAGAGTAACCCTTAAAAAAAAAAAATATTTGTGTCCGGCTTGTAGCTTCTTCTAAATCAATGAACAAACACCAAACAGAGCAAATCGATTGTATGACAATGCTTTTACCTACCCCACATTGGAATGGTTGGGATGGATTCAATCGACTTTAAATACCCTTAGCTTGATGACTTTTATTAAAGGGTAATTTGTCATTTTATGCACAATGCACTTCTCATTTCTTCCCCTTCAATGTAATCCATTTTGTTTTCTTTGTTTTTTGTTTTCTTGTTCTTATTTTCTTTTCAAGTTTTACCAATCAATTAATGATATTATTATAAATTTAGATTATAACTAATTTAATTTAAATCCAATTCAGAAAATTGTGTAGAATTCACAATGTTTTCGATACACAAAAAAATATATTATATATATATATAAAATAAATAAACTACTGTATCGTGTTAGTACTTCTTTTTATCCCAATACAAAATTAAATCTACATCTATACTATTATTAAAAGTACAAGGAGTGTCAAGAATTTCAAATCATCAATAAAAATAAATAAATAATAAAATAAATTATCAATTAAAAGTTACAAATTATACTCGGAATTCTTCAAGGCTAAAACAATTAAAACAAGTTACCAAATAAAATATGTAATTATAGTTACCAATTATACTTGAAATTCTTCAAAGCTAAAACAATCAAAAACAAGTTACCAATTAAAACAAAATAGGTAAATATTAAATAAAGTAATTTACCAAATAAAAAACAAGTTACCAATTAAAATGAAATAGGTAATTTTTTAATTGAAAATTAAATTTTACTAAACTAAACCATTGTATTAACAAACAATTTTTTTTTTTAAATAAAATAATATACCAAATAATAAAATAAGTTACCAATTAAAATAAATCATATTATACTCAGAATTCTTCAAGCTAAACAAGTTACCAATTAAATATAACGTAGAAATGTGTTTCAAAAAATAAATATAGATTAAAACTTAATAATTTTAATTATATATAGAAATGATAATACATGTATTATAGATTAGAAAACAACACATGTTTGGTAAAAATTCTTTTACTAATTTTAATTTTAGTATGAAGAAATAGAATTAGAAAATAATACATATTTGGTAAGAGTTTAGGAAAGTTATATTTCTATGTATTTATTGAAATAAATAATACTCCGTACTGTGAAAGAATTAAAAAGTCATGAGATAGAACATACTTAAATTCAAAACTCTATTATTAGAACTCGTATTGAATAAGGAAATACAATTGCAAGAAAGAAATACAATTAGTAACTTTTTCTCTATGAGATATTTTCAATAATTGTTTAGAAACTTGACAACAAATTAAAATTTTTCAGTAAATTGAATTTTTTTCTTTAAAATTTTAATTTCTCTTATCTCTTTTCAATCTAATTTCTCTAATTGATTAGCAACTTGATAAATTTAGTTTCTGTTCTGCAAGTACAATTAATTTTATTCACGCATATAAAAACTATTTTGTTTATGCTTGATTATTATTTAGTTTAGTTTTGGATCATAATTAATTTTTTAAAAAATTTATATTATTTCTGTTTGATTATTATTTTGTTTAGTTTTGGATCACAAGTAACTTTTTTACATAAAAAAATTACATTATTTCTATTGATTATTAGTATTTATTTTAATTTTGGATCACAATTATTTTATTATTAATTGTACTCGATTATTGTTTATAAAATTTATTATTTAAAAAAATAATAAAACTGAACTCTTATAAATATTTATTTGTAATGACTTTATAAATATTAAATATCACCTATTTAAAACAAGTTGCTAATCAGTTATTTACGAATATAAAAGAATTTTTTTATTATAAATTAATTTTTAAATTTTCACAACAGCACGTGGCTTTTGCTAAGTGTGTGTAAGAAGCGCGCAAACCAAACACGCGATTTCAGGAGAGTGACGTCATCACGTGGTCCCACGTGGCAACAATCCAAGCACCGACAACCCGGCGCACGTTTCTAACGAACACCTCCTTGTCACCTTTCTTTCGAGCATACGCCTTGCTCATCACACCACCTCAACTCTCTCTCTCTCTCTCTCTCTGCAATGAAATCACCAATTTAATCACTCAGAATGATCTTTCTCTCTCTACCCCTATACTCGTAAGTTCTGTTCTCACATAATGAAATTATTCTTACATTTTTTTTTTAATTTTTTAATTTTCTTTCTGTTAATTAGTTTAAATCTGTTAATTTTGAGTCCTAAAAATCTGTAACAGACCTGACCAAATTTAGCCGACTTCTCGTGATTCGTGCTACTTTGATCGTTGTTCATATCAACCTCTTTGCGTTCAGATTCGATTCATTAGGTCCGATAAATCAGCTCATTTTCATAGTTCAATTATTATAATTTGATTAAAAACTCTTTCTGTCTTTGTTATTTCTTTAATCCTTATTTGTAGTTTCCGAACCAGAATCGCAATTAGGATTAGGGTTTAGGGTTTGTTAACTGCTAGGGCTGTTTAATATTTTTTTTGTCAGATTAGGGTTTTTTTTTTTTTGGTGGTGGTGATGTAAGTTTTGGATTGAATTTGTTGAAATGGATTGATTATATATGTTGTTTTGATGAGGAATAATTTGCATTTTGCCTGTTGATTGTTTCTATTGGGATGTGATGAGACGCCGTTCTTCAAACGGTTCTCTCTCGAATCATATGGAAAAGGTTACTGGAAAGAATCAACCTTACTCCAGACTTTGTTTGTTAGCAACTTTATCATCATTTTTCTGGTTCTTGTTATTGTACTTCCATTTCATTGTCCTCAGAGGTAGTTCTATTGATGATCCGCCACAGTTCGGACCCATCTCCGTTAGCACCAATTTCTTCAATGCCCCTCCGAGTAGAGTCAGGCCAAGCAATGCACAATCAATGCCAATTAGTCGTCCAACTAGTCCTCCACCTCCACCGCCATCTAGTCCTCCACCCCCAAGTCCTCCGCCTTCTAGTCCTCCAGCTCCTCCGCCTCCAACGCCCTCTAGTCCTCCACCTCCTCTGCCTCCAAGTCCTCCACCTTCAACTGATCATATTGCTCATAAATCAGATAATTACCCATTTATGAAGGCTTTGAGAACCATAGAGAACAAGAGTGATCCATGTGGTGGGAGGTATATTTATGTTCACGACCTTCCTCCGAGGTTCAACGAGGATATGCTTAGGGAGTGCAAGAGTCTTAGTCGTTGGGTGAACATGTGTAGATTCACTACTAATGCTGGGCTTGGACCCCCACTGAAGAATGTAAAACATGTGTTCTCGCGTACTGGTTGGTATGCCACGAATCAATTTGCCGTTGACGTGATCTTTAGTAACAGAATGAAAAAATATGACTGCTTGACGCGTGATTCTTCTCTAGCTGCTGCCATTTTTGTACCTTTTTATGCGGGGTTTGATATTGCCCGGTATCTTTGGGGGTACAACATTTCGACGAGGGATGCTGCATCTCTTGATTTGGTCAATTGGCTTATGAAGAGGCCTGAGTGGAGCATTATGGGTGGAAAAGATCATTTTCTAGTTGCCGGTAGGATAACATGGGATTTCAGAAGACTAAGTGATGAAGAATCAGACTGGGGTAGCAAACTTCTGTTCTTACCAGCTGCAAAAAATATGTCCATGCTTGTGGTTGAATCAAGCCCATGGAATGCAAATGATTTTGCTATTCCATATCCGACTTATTTTCATCCAGCAAAAGATGGTGATGTGTTTGTTTGGCAGGATCGTATGAGAAAACTAAAGCGCAAGTGGCTCTTCTCCTTTGCTGGTGCTCCACGTCCCGACAACCCTAAGTCAATCAGAGGGCAGATTATTGATCAGTGCAAGAAGTCCAACGTAGGCAAACTCTTGGAATGTGATGCTGGGGAAGCTGGGGACAGTAAGTGTCATTCACCTAGCAGTATAATGCTGATGTTTCAAAGCTCCCTTTTCTGCCTGCAACCACAAGGTGATTCGTACACACGAAGATCTGCTTTTGACTCGATGTTGGCAGGTTGCATACCTGTCTTCTTCCATCCGGGTTCGGCATATACACAATATACCTGGCATCTTCCAAAGAATTACTCAAAGTATTCAGTATTTATTTCAGAGAATGATATACGCAAGAGGAATGTTAGCATCGAGCAAAGGCTCCGCCAAATTTCTCCCGAGCAGGTGAAAATAATGAGGGAGGAAGTTATAAGTCTCATCCCGAGATTGATATATGCAGATCCTCACTCCAAATTGGAAACCTTAAAAGATGCATTTGATGTTTCTGTACAGTCAGTAATTGACAGAGTTACAAAACTGAGAAGAGACATCATTGAAGGTCATACAAATTCGAATTTCATTGAGGTAGTTAGTTGGAAATATGCCCTATTAGAGGAAGGGCAACGTGAAGTGGGAGCTCATGAATGGGATCCTTTCTTCTCAAAACCAAAGGATGGTGATGGGGATTCCAATGGTTCAACTTCATCTGCAGAAGTGGGTAAAAATTCCTGGAAGAATGAGCAAATACAACACTCATAAATTAGAGGAATTGTTGATAGAAGTTCCGGTAATGCCTTGTGCTTGCAGAATGGGGCTCTAACCAAAAGATGCGACTTAGAGGTGGAATGTGGGTAAGAAATCTTACTTGGTCCCCCTTCTTAGGATTTTTAAAATCTAGTTCAGCTAACCCCAAAACCTTGGCCAAATCGAGAACATAGAAACATATATTTTCTGCTTCTAGAAATAGGTTTTTCATATTCTTCATTATTTAATTTGTTTAATGATTCATTGTAGTGTAATGGATGCACACATGCTGCTATATAGCTGACGTTACACATTTTCATCCCTTTCACAAAAGAATAAATAATGCAAGAAAATAATAACGAGTTCTTATCATCCATCAAGATTTAAGCATAGAAAGTGTGTGTGTGTGTGTGTTGGGGGGGGGGGGGGGGGGGGGGGGGTGCGGGGGGCTCTCCTGATTTTCACTTTGGTTTTGTTGCAGCAATGATGTTGAATTTTATATGAATAACCTCATGTGGTTCTATATCTTGACTATTACCTTTCTTGATTAGCCTATGGAAGACATTGTTAAATGTTGGCATCTTTGAACTAGTTTAACTTGGCTCAGCTGATGCCCTTAGCAAGCCATTTATATCTTATAAATTTTGTTACTTTCTAGAACCTGATCTCGGCACCTTTTTTCTTTTCCGTTTCCTCTCTCAATTAATTGAATGCCTTGTTGAATTTTAAAGTTTAGTCCGGGAAACAAATTTCTTCATCACACTCTGTTGACTCTTTGATGATTCCCTGCATTGTGAGTTTGTGACAAATGGTTGTATGATTCAAATAAGGTGAGGCAACTGGCTGCAGTTCTCTTTTCGGTGATTCATGTAGGAAGTGCTAATACAGAATTGACTGAAAAATTAATAGGAATCAATCAGAAGAGTTTTAATATGGCAGAATGCATTCAATGTCATAATAACTCTGTTTAAAATTAACACTTGATCATCATTTCTTTGAATATCTTCTGGTGAGTGTACAACCTTCAAATCTTGTTTTATTTTTCTATGTATCATAGAAAATATTGTCAGATCACATTGTTTCTTGTTGTGTTTGGAAATGCCGAATCAGCGCCTTAGATTTGGAAATGGAGGAACTTGTAGTTCATCAACTCCTTTGGCCGAGCGGTGGAGCTCTTTGCTCCTATGTTGTTCTACCGCCACGTCCCAATTGACTCACTTGTAAGCCAGGAGCAGCTGATGTTGATAATCCTTGAAGATCATAAAGCTCTGTGGGATAGCTTTGAACTAAATTTTTTCTAATTCTAAATTCAAGTCACTTAGTCGGTGCTTCCAAACATAACATTAGGAAAGTATGAATTTGACACTGTGGGATATGGAATTGGCTACTAAAATATGCATATGTAGAAGAATCTCAATCAGATGGTTCCTCCTCTCACAAGTACTGCTTCATTCTTACTCTTTCAGACTAATGGTATTGAACTCTTTATCTAATAACAATGATTTTGAAACAGGTTAGTGTTCTACATCTATTATATATAGTGTAGTGAGCTTATAACGAAGCAGGCAACAATGAATCCATGCATGTGTGTCTGCAGATTAATCCCGGGTAGGTAAAATGTTGTTAAAATAATAAAATAAATATTAAAAGAAAAGAATAAGGCCCTGTTTGGTTGGCGTTTTGTTTTAATTGGATGCAAAATCAATGTTTTAAAAGGTAATAAGTAGCATGTGAGGTAATGTCCATTTGTCGTAAGATTTTTAGAAGTAAAAACATGAAAACATGTTTGGTAAAAAAATTATTGGTTTGAAATATATAATGGTTAGTTTAAAAATGTTAATAAAAAATAAAAAATATTATTCATCGCTACGGTACCCGCTGAACATGTAAAAACACCAAATTGGTATTTCGATTTTTGGCCACTATTAACGAAACGTTGACATTGTGCAAAACAAAACATTTTTAACCGAACACGTTCCCCCCCCCCCCCCCCCCCCCCCCCTTCCCTTTCACTGTTAATTACTACAGTACCCGACAAAAATGAAAACACTAAAATAAAATGCGTACCAAACATGTTCGACTATTGCTGAGCAATTTTTGGATATCAAACAGACCTCCCCAGAAGGTCATTTTAATATGACCGATTTCCCCTCTTTTGCAATCAGTTTCACTACAGCACTCGCTGCTTTAGCTAATTGTCCACCATTTTCAAATGTGATTTCTATGTTATGTATGGCTGTGGCATGTCGGTTGAAGTAGAATTATCTTTTTGATCAATCAAAACCCCTTACCAAACTGCTTCTTCCAAAGCATACGACTTTCTGGATGTGGATGATGATGTTTATATAGATGGACCTAAGTCCTTTAGACTCCTTTTAGAAGTAAGTTTTTCATGTGTATTTGATTAATATGAAATATTTTCAAAAATTTATGGAACTTTACTATTTTATGGTTTGAATAGCATGGAATTTATCATAAAAGGGCATTACTCAGTGTTTGGTGTGCATGAATGGAATGTTCATACCATTCCTTTGTTTAATATGTAATTTAAAGTGGGAATGTCATTGGAATGAAAATTCATTAATGAGAATGAAAATCCATTCCACAACTAAACCTATGAAATGGTCATTCCATTCCCTAGTAATTTTTTTAAAAAAATCAACTTCCTAAAATACCCTCATTCTCCAAGTTCAAAAACCACCACCACTATTGCCACCAACACCATTGCCTTCCACCACCACCACCACCACCACCACTACTATTGCCACCAACACCAGTGCCTTCCACCACCACCACCATCACCACATATGCCTTTCATCACTGCCACACATGCATCTCTATTGCCTTCTACCACCGTCACTGCTACTGCCACCATTGTTGTCGCCTTCAACTGACACATCGTCCTTCACTGCTTTCCACCACCGCCACCTCCATCCATTGCCATCACCACCACTGACTTCCACCATTACCACCACTACCACCTTCGACCACCACCACGCTATCACTATTACTTCCACCATAGTCACCACCATCGCCATATTCCACCACCATTGCCACCTCCCACTATTGCAACCACTATCACCAATATCACCACATTCCACCACCTCCACTGGACCACTGCCTTCCACCACCATTTATACCACTATTGCCAACTCCATCGCTACTGCCACTACTATCTCCACTGCCTTTCGCCATTGCCCAAGACTTTCACTACCGCCACCGCCATCGCCTTCCACCACCACCACCCACTTTCACCACCGCCACCGCCACCGCCTTCCACCACCACGATCGCTACCACCGATTTTCACCACTGCCTTCCACCACTAGGGTTTTTCTGATTTTTCAGGGTCATTTTCGTCTTATCTCGTGTTTCGTGCCGGACGCCGTGGGGTGTGTCGGGTGTGTCAGAGTGTTGATTGGGACATTTCCTTGAGTTCAGGACTCTTGGAAAGGCATTGGTTGCCATTTCGGCTTTTTTTCCCTTTTTCTGATAGAAAGGTCCCAGGTGGGACCCGTTATCGGGGTTGTTGAGTATAGGGATTGTGTTACGGGTCCATTGCATTTCATCCATGTTTATTTAGTGCATTCTATGTAGATACATGTTATTATGTGGTTGTATGATGTTTATCACGTGTATGTATATGTATACTTATGTAAAAGAAGATTTTTATTAACTAGTGGGACCCACCATTTTGGTATGTGATTGTAAATGAGCTTGTATCATTATCAGCCTCCCATTTCTCATTCTTCACGCAGTTCTCTCTCTACAAGAAACCCATTTTTCTCTCACTAAATCACAAGTTATAAGGCTTGATATCATCATCTTTCACTTGGATTTAGACTTTGCCATATGAGGCAAAGTCGACGAGCGTGTTGTAATACCCCTAATTTCAAAAGGATAGTTTCGGTATTATTATAATTGTTTTAATTGCATTTTACTTATTTATTTGATTTCTTGGCTGATAGTTTACTTGTTTAATTGATTTAATTGTTTATATGTTAATTGAATTATTTGTTTAAATTAAATTGTGTGCTAAAATTATGTGTATTTGATTTATTTGTTTAATTTAAATGGTATGTGATGAAGTGTATTTGTTTAGAAACTTAATTGTTTTATTTTTATTTTTATTTTATTTGTATATATTTTTTTATTATTTTTTTAAAGGAATTGGATATGGATAGTAATAATGGACCAACCAATTGGGTCCCATGGACTACTTAGATAGGATGTTAAATGGATACGGATAATTACCCATGGATAATTGTATATATATATATATATAATAAATGATATATATTTAGTTACCTTTTAAATAGGAGTGGCAAAGTTCGACACGACCCGCCAACACGACACGAGTTAAATGGGTAATGGGTTTACCATAAACAGGTTCGTGTCGTAAACGGGTTGACACGAATAACCAGTTTAGTTAAACGTGTCGTGTTCGGGTTTTGTGGCTCAACCCGTTTAACCCGTTTTGACCCGTTTAATTAAATGTGTCACCCGTGAACCCGTATAACCTGTTTTGACCTGATTATTAGGGGGCATTTTGGTCATTTCATGATTCATAAGAAACCCTATTAAGATTTAAGCCTTGTATACAAATAATGAAAATATATCTCATACAGTCATATTCTTAGTTTCTTACGCGGCGCCTCTCTTCACAGTTCACAGACTTCACTCTTCAATCTCTCTCTCTGTCTCTCCTCTTTCCTCTCTCTCTCGGTCTTTTCTCTTAGCTGAGGCTCGCAAGGAGTTCGCTAACCTCTGACGTGTCTTTGACGAAGTGAACACCACTCTCCAAACCAAGGTCAGTCTAGTACACCACATCCCCCTTTCTCTCTCTCTTTCTAAATTTTTGTATTTAGGTTTTTCTGTTTTTCTAATTATTATGGTACATATCTACATCCTTCAGCTGGTTAGATGTTCTTGTTGGATGTACTAAAATGATTATTCGATTTGAAATATATTAATTGATTCAAAGTTTCTTACAATTAGGTTTTATATGTATCTGAAATGGATTAATTGATTCAGAGGTTCTATAATTAGGTTTTGTTTGTGCATGTGTTTAGATCTAGATTGGATGTGATGATGGCTTTAATTATTGGATTTATTTTGGTTGATTTATTTTTTACCCTTGGATCAGTTGAAATATGTGTGGGTTGACGGTAACTCTCTGCACGTGAACGGAGAGGAAGAGGTGGACAAGGAGAATGAGAAGAAGTTTTATCCGAGAAAGTATTATCCGAGGAAGTATTCCGGCAACATCCAAATCCCTCGGGGCTACTACACGGTAGAGAATATCACGGCGGTGTTGAAGAATGGTGGGCTCAAGATCAAGATTCCAAAGAGAGATCTCCTGTTAAAACCAGTGATGACAATGATGTTTATGATGATTTTAGT